GTAAACTGAGTTTTTTTTTTTTTTTTTTTTTTTGTCAGCATTGTAGTAAACTGAGTATATACCTTTAACAGGACAAAGCATAATCAATCAAAAAAATATGACTTGAAAGGAAATTTCCAATCATGTTGCAGACAAATTCACACCTCTCTAACCAACCAATCTTTAAGATACCAACACTAGTTTTGTTCTGACCAATTAAACAACAAACCCGAAGCTAATAAAATGAAGAGAGAGAGAGAGAGAGAGAAAGAGAGCAAAAGAAGAAACACATAAAAGAAATTAAAAAAAAACAAAAAAAATTGATTTTTTTTCGTTAGCCGATACATAATCTAAAAACCCTCTCTAAATCGGTCCTCAAAATACCTTATTAACGTTGGTTTACTTACATTTTAATTATTTTTTTATTTAATTAAATCACTGATTTCTCTAAAAACCCATTTATTGTTTTTTTCTAACCCATGTGTATCGCATTTCTTTATTTTTATATTTTTCAATAGATGACTTGTATAATTAAAATACAGATGAGTGAAATTGACCATTGTAATTCGTATCTTTGGGAATCCTCTACTATTTTCTAGAATTAGCCATTCTCACTTATGTGATTTTATTTAAAAATTAGAAAATAGCAAATCCAGATTTAAAATAATATTATTCCGAAGAATACAGAAACTACTTGACAGAAAAAATACATAAGACATTTGTAATATATTTTTTATAAATGGTTAAAAGAAAAGTGAATGATAACATAGTTTGAATCGCCCACATACATTCAAGGAGAATACATAATTTAATAAGTAGGTGGAGCAGTTTCTAATAATTGAGACCAAAATAGAAATGTAGATTTCCGACATACAAGACCATTGACAGGGACAGGATGCAAAAATAAATAAAAACGTACAAGAGATGATATACTAGTATGCTAATAATTGTATATATACATAACACATAAAATGCCTTGATAGTATCATTTACTTCATTCAAAAGCTATCAAATTCTTCATAGAAGAAAATTATACCATCACATATGTAATCAATCCTCTCTCTCTACTTGTTTTTTTTATAACTCTGGCATGCATCCTCTCGTTAGTAGATTAGATATGCATGCACTCTTTGGTAGATAGAAGAGTGGCGAGTGTAAAAAACTTGTGAATATATAATACATTTTTCTTCTTCTTTTCACTTCTTTAAGTAGAAAATGTGGAGGTTGAAAGTTGGACAAGGGAATGGAGAAGATGATCCGTATTTGATCAGTACTAACCACTTCGCTGGTCGGCAAATATGGGAGTTTGATCCAAGTGGCGGCACATCGGAGGAACGAGCATCAGTTGAAGAGGCTCGCCGTAGCTTCTACGATAACCGCCATAGAGCTAAAGCTTGCAACGATCTTTTATGGCGCATGCAAGTATGTGCCCTTATCTCTTACATAAAAATAATAATCAGATTTATTTTTTTCATTTTGTTTTATTGTTTCGATTTGATTCATGGGATTATTTATATGGATTTTTTTTTAAATTATGTTTTACATGAAATTTTTAATTCAGAAATTATGTTTTTCATGAAATGATAAAATAGTATTAACTAAAAGTTAAAAATATATTTTTATTGATATTTGGATTAATAATTAGGATTGAGAATTTTAAGCATGTTTACTGCAAGGTTTTTAGAGTGGAGATTCTTAGCGGAATTAAGAACTAAATTTTAAGATTTACAACAAATATGTTTTCAGAGGATGGAGTTATAGGTCTGACATAGTTAAGGGTTACGCAGATATTTTAAGAACGTCATCAACGCAGAAACTGGTGGCACGGTTTTTTTATACATTTATTTTATTTTATTTTATTTTTGTCAAATTTAAAAAAATTAAAAAAGAACTAATCGTGGGCTGCCACGGGTCAGTGGAGTCTGCGAAAAAAATCAGGTAAAATCGGTCTTTATTTTACAATTTCTCTTGACTGATTCTTATCCTCTTTATGGGGCTCATAAAACCTACTAAAAACCCCTTTACAAATCCCATATAATGATGGCCTAACACAAATATTTTAAAAAATTTAGTTCCTAAGAGAAAAGAACTTCGAGCAAGTAATCCCGCCGGTTAAGGTCGACGATGCTGAAACAATCACCAACGAAGCATCGTCCAACGCATTACGAAGAATCGTTCACTATTTCTCGGCATTGCAGAGCAGCGACGGTCACTGGCCAGCTGAAATCACTGGTCCACTCTTCTACGCTCCCCTGATGGTAAGTTTTTCTTTTCTACCTCAGTACCATCAATCCTGGGGTTGGTTTCTATGCCCTTAGAGTACCATTAACCCCATCTCTTAAGTGGGTTTTTAAGAGGTGGATCTCACAATTTTTATAAATTCCAACTCTTAAACCTCTTATGCAAGAGACAACTCTTGTGCTTTTCGCGGATTCCACTGACATGTGGTAGCCCGCGATTGATTGGTTTTTTAAAAAAAATCAGATAAAAAAAAACTTAAGAGTCAAATTTTGGCTCTTAAGGGTTAATGATGCTCTTATGGTTTCTATGTTGCTTGGGAAGTAAGAAATGGAGTTTTTGTTGTTGTTGTTGCATGCAGGTGTTCTCTCTATATATCACAGGACATCTTGAGAAGATACTCAGTGCAGAACATCAGAAGGAGATGCTTCGACATATCTATTGTCACCAGGTACAATGTTGCAGTAACTCGTGTTGTGTAACAGGAATCACCTGTTATTCCTCTATTTATCCGAAAAGTAGCCGGTAGGCTCTCTCTCTATCTTTTCCTTTTATCTTTAATTTTCAAAAAATAATCTGGTTATGTTAAATCCCGGTTGAATTTTATTTGGTTTACTTTAATCTCTAGATCTTCGAGGTGGTCCTTCTTCCTTAGTGACTACTTTCTAGACTTGATTTACTCTAACTTAGAGCTCACGGAGAGTTCCTAGTCTGAGTTTTTATCTCTTAATTACTAATACTGTTTCATGTTGGTTAATTCTAGAGGAACCAAAAACATAGTGACAAACTTGTAGATTTTGGAAAACCATAAATATTTACTTAAAAAATAATATAATTAAAAATAATAATTTGGAGAGGGTCTACATCTATATTTGTATATTATCTTCAAAAATTTTGGGAATCAAAGCTAATGTTTTACTAGATTGTTCACAGACCTAGACATGCATAATGATGTAAATTGTGTTATATGTTTTGCTTTTCAGAATGAAGATGGTGGGTGGGGATTACACATAGAAGGCAAGAGCAGTATGTTCTGCACCGCACTGAACTACATATGCTTGCGTATTCTTGGAGAAGGTCCAGATGGAGGACCAGGACAGGCGTGCAAGTCTGCTCGGCAATGGATTCTTGATCATGGTGGTGTGACTTACATTCCTTCTTGGGGCAAATCTTGGCTTTCTGTAAGCTTTAAGCCACATGAGTTAAATAGGAAAGACTAGAGACTGTATTATATATTCATTGTTCATTCAACTTATTTTGTGTAGATGCTTGGAGTCTATGATTGGAGTGGAACCAACCCAATGCCTCCAGAGATATGGCTGCTACCTTCTTTTCTTCCAATACATCTTGGTTTGTTTGTTTTTTTTCCCTTTAGTAATATACTTTCTGGCTTAGCTTTGAAACCTGTGATATGGTTTTGTAACACAGGGAAAACTTTAAGCTTCTGCCGGCTGGTTTATCTCTACATTTCCTACTTTTATGGGAAGAGATTTGTTGGTCCAGTAACACCTCTAGTTATGCAACTGCGTGAAGAACTCTACCTACAGGCTTATGAAGATATCAATTGGAACACAGCAAGGCGTCTATGCGCAAAGGCTAGTTCAATACATTTGTATATATATCTTCTTTTGTTGGTAGAAATTCACAACGTTCTTATCTTGTTCCGTGTGTAGGGAGATATGTATTATCCTCATCCTTTTATTCAAGATTTGGTATGGGACAGTCTTCATGTTTTCGTTGAGCCTCTCCTTTCACATTGGCCACTGAACAAGCTTGTGAGAGAGAAGGCTCTTAGGGTTGTGATGGAGCACATACATTATGAAGATGAAAATACGCGGTATATCGACACTGGATGTGTTGGGAAGGTGTTTTATATCCTTTAAACAATTTAATAAGACATGTAAATAATGATTTATATTTTTGAATCATATTTTATGTTGTCATTTGTCAGGCAATGTCCATGCTTGCTTGCTGGAATGAAGATCCAAACGGTGAATATTTCAAGAAGCATCTCGCTAGGATTCCAGATTACTTATGGATTGCAGAAGATGGGATGAAACTGCAGGTATTACTATAGAATTCCAACAAGTTTTATGTTCTAGGGTTACAGCACTTGTAGTTCCTTGAGTGCCAAGCGTTTATGCAGAGTTTTGGAAGTCAACTATGGGACACATCACTTGCCATTCAAGCTTTACTTGCTACTGATCTCTCTAGTGAAATCTCTGATGTACTCAAGAAAGGACATGATTTCATCAAGAGATCTCAGGTAACTCTACCCTCTGAAATCTTCATTATGGTGCTCTATAGAGTTAGTTGATGCTAAATCAAAGAACTCTGAAGATTAGGGAAAACCCTTCTGGTGATTACAAGAAGATGCACCGCCACATTTCAAAAGGAGGATGGACTTTTTCTGATAGAGATCAGGGATGGCAAGTGTCAGATTGTACAGCCGAAGCATTTAAAGTAATCAATCACACCTTAGCTGCTGTTTCTAAAGAAACGTTTTCCTCAAGTAACTGACATCTTCTTAACTGGTTTCATAGTGTTGTCTTATGCTCTCCATGATGCCACCTGAGGTTGTTGGCCCAAAAATGGATACTGAGCAGCTATATGACTCTGTGAACCTCTTACTCTCTTATCAGGTGAGGCTTTAATACATAAGAAAAATGTTTTACTAAATAGATTCTAATCAAATTACTTGGTCACTATTGCTCTGCTGTAGAGTAAAAATGGAGGTATAATAGCATGGGAGCCTGCACGTGGATATGGATGGTTAGAAGTAAGAAGTCAAATGTCTTACTTTGATTTCCAAATAATAATGTCAGGAGTTTTATAAAAAGACTCTACACAAATCCTTTTTATTAAATCTGTATTGCAGTTGTTCAACCCTACAGAGTTTATGGCAGATGTTGTAATCGAGCGTGAGTACGTTGAATGTACTTCATCGGTTATCCAAGCATTGGTTCTGTTCAAGAAACTATATCCAGATCACAGGACTAGAGAGATTGATAGAACTATTGAAAAGGGGGTGCAGTTCATAGAAAACACACAAGAGGCTGATGGTTCATGGTACGGTCCCTTAAAACTTAAAGAGTGTACATCTAAGGACAAGTCTCTGATGTGTAATAAGTGTTTCTTTTATGATTGGTAGGTATGGAAGTTGGGGAGTTTGCTACACAAATGCAACATGGTTTGCTCTTGGAGGCTTGGCAGTAACAGGTAAAACGTATGACAACTGTTTGGCTATGCGTGAAGGTGTTGACTTCCTTCTCAAGAAACAAAACAGCAATGGAGGTTGGGGAGAAAGCTACCTGTCTTGCTCTGAAAAGGTAATGTCTCTTCTATAATCAATTGAACATTTAAGTTCCTTAGAATCTTCAACTCTTGACTGTTCTTGGATATGCAGAGATACATAGGATTAGAAGGAGGAAGATCAAACCTGGTGCAAACCGCTTGGGCATTGATGGCTCTGATTCTAACAGGACAGGCCGAGAGAGATCCATTGCCTCTTCACCGAGCTGCGAAACTAATCATCAATTCACAGTTAGAAAACGGAGACTACCCTCAACAGGTACTATACCTCGCCGCCTTCTTTGGATCAGAGAAATGTTGTATACTCAAAGATTATCATAAAAACATACATTATGGTGCGCAGGAGATGACAGGAGTGTTCATGAAGAATTGTTTTCTAAACTATGTCACCTACAGAAACATCTTCCCCTTATGGGCACTTGCAGAGTACCGTAAAGTTACTTAACTTATTGCACCTAATGAAGATTTTTAATTCAACACAATTCATATCCAATATGTCCATGTCAAGTATGTTAAACCATTCTATTTCGATTTGATTGAACTGTGAATAAACTATTTTGAAGAACTCCATGCTTTTCAAAGAACTAGTGGCATACTCTGCCTGCTCTTTTATTTTTAGAGGTGATAGAAGGTAAAGGTAGACCTGCAAAGGAAAATGGTCTTGATCTAGTAAATTTATGGTTGTGCAGCTGAGGACCTTCACCCATTTATTACATTTCAACAGGCTCTCTTTGCTTTTTAACATGAGAAACATCAAAGAGTGTCTTCTTTACTCATAAGACTACTGACCCAAAAGAAGCTTAAAATATCCAACACTATAAGAACTACAAAGCCACTATAAGATGGCGGTGAATGGGAGATGGAGACGAGCTAGAAGAGAAATTTCGTTTTCTTTAATATTCTTTTATTACATTATGTTTTGCGAGGAGGCGGTGAGCCGCTGCTGCTGCTGTTACTGCTGCTTCTCTTTCCTCTCAGTGGCCTACACATTACGCAACAACAAACCCATTCTCTGTTATTAGACTTTGAGAGCTAAAATATTTACATATTGTTTGAACCAATACTTCTGCTCTTTGTTTCATCTCAATCTCATTCACTTAGTTCTAGGCAAAGAAAGTGTTTACCTCCTAGGACTGCGGCTCCTCGAGATCTTCCTTGGAACCTGTAAGTTTTAATAATGCACACAGGATAGAAAGTCAAAACACATAACTCAACAAGGAATCAACATTATAGCTAAAACGGATTTGAAAGATGGACTTACCCTTCTGGGACTTGGCGAACTAGAGTAAGAAGATGACCTTCCACGTCTCCCAGCTGGACCTCGTCCTCTGCTTGTAATGAAAGACAAATTTACACCAATGACAGACTCCACATAGATCTATATAGCTTAGTCATATTTGGTATCAATTCGTCACAAACCAACATACAAGGATTACACAACGTAAGAACTTAAATATACTCGTAACTTATGCAAGATTAAAAAACATGTCATATGTACTATCTCAGATATGAAACTGAAACCAAATAAAATCCCGGAGAGATCAACGATAACCCCAATAACACTTTAAATTGGTTAAAACATACCTGCGGGGTGAGATGGACCTTGAGCGAGAGCGACCAGGCCTACGAATTGGGGATCGGCTACGTCTGCGGATTGGAGATCTTCTGAGAGGACTGCGTAGTCTCCTTGGAGGTGATCTAAAACATGCCCAATTCAAAATACTTACAAAACTGCCACATTGTTCAGCTCTAATGTACTGAGTACGACATCCTAACAAAGAGGTAACTTCTATCCTCCAATCACTAGGGGAATATTTTGTGTAATAGCATAGACTTACCTTCGCCTTAGAGGAGGAGGAGACCGTCTTCGAACAGGACAGCCACGGATTCTTCTAGGGGAGCCCCTGTTGACATACTAAACGTGAGCAGTTGATTCCTGAAAACACCACATAAAACAGATAGTACCACCACAGCTAACCTTGGAGGAGATCTATGTCTTCTTGGAGGGGGAGAAGATGGAGAACGGCCTCTAGATGGCGATGCTGCCCTGCGTCTGGGTGGTGTATCACCACGATGGCGGATAGGAGGGCTCGGCCTTCGGCGAGGGGAAGAATCAGGTAATCTCTTAGGTGATGCGCCTCTTCTAGGTAGTGGTGATCGCCTTCTTGGAGACAGTACTGTTTTCCGTGGAGAAGCTAATCACATGTAGACGATAATCATTGACACCAGACAAAGCATATATCTCAAGTTCTCAACAATAAAAAATAAAATAAACATAGACGTACTGTCTCTTGAGCGCCTGGGCTCATCTTTCTCAATGTCAGCACCGGATTTTGGAGCCTCTCTCGTTGGTGCACTTGAGACAGGTTTAGGGGGTGGAGATAGTTTCTGACGCGGTGGTAGTGTAAACTTTGCTTTAACAACACTTCCATCAATTTGTCCCTGCGTTAAGTAAACAAACAAAAAAGGCATGCATAAATCTTCCCAACCAATATCTTGAGTTAAAAACATAGTGCATTTCATATAAGGAAGAGAGACATACACCATCCATAAACAGAAGAGCTTTCTCAGCATCAGCTCTTGCCTTGAATTCAACATAAGCATATCCTTTTGGAAGATTAACCTGTTAATATGCAAATGAGTTCGAAAAAAAAAAACTTAACAAGTAATCCCATAAAACAACAGAGAAGAGCGAAAGAGAAACTTACAGCTCGATCCATTGCAAGTTCAACGTGTAGAATTTCACCATAGTTGCCTAAAAATACGACAAAAAATCCCTTAGTAACACACAGTGTGAACTTAACATGTCGCCAAGCCAATTGGTCAAACAAAAACAAAATACAAAACCATAATGCTAGACTGCCAGTGATGATGATCCATGGGGGTAATAATGAGCAATACACTACTACTGATCGTTTAGTAGAGGTTAAAGGAAATGGTGTACTCAGTTATCATGTAATGAAATCGGAGAAAAGAAACGTACCAAATATTTCTTTGAGATGGCCTTCGTTCACATTCCTGCTAAGAGAATCAACATGGAGCACCAGAGATTCTTGCACAGGTGCGGCTTTCCTGAAATTATAGTTCGATTGTACAGTCAGCAATTAGTCAAAACGAGATCAACATTGTCTAATGTAGTTGCATTTTAAAAAAAAAAAAAAAAAAAGCCACAACTCTCAGCTCACACACACAAATGGAGATAGAAAGAGAGATTCTAATTCCCAATGTTAACATTTTAAACAAGAACATGTATAAGAGTTATGTGAGTTTGGAGATTACTTAGAGGGTGAAGAGGCTCCTTTAAACTGCGGAGGAGAGCGACCTCGTCTAGTAGGCCCAGCAGAACTGTAAAGACACATCATAACATTCAAAACACAGTCTCCAATCTCACAATTCCAGATTCTAGCTAAAAATAATAATTCCAGATTTGGATTCAACACTATCCTTAACGGAGTCAAGTTATCAAATAGAAAGTTAGAAAGAGAAGCTAACCTTTTTCCACGAGGTGGAGGACTGCGACTCCCAGAACTGACGCTCCGCGAAGGAGATGAAGAGAGCGATCTAGAACAGGAAAGAGACCTGGAATGAGATCTGGAGCTGGAACGAGAAGATGACCCAGAGAGGGAAGGAGAGCAACGGCCACGGCTTGGTTTCGCCATGGACGATAAATCGCGACGCACTAAGCTAAAGGTAAGAGGAGAGACTGTAATTTAATTTTATTTTTTATTTTTATTTTTATTGTGGTAGTTTCTTTACAACCTGTAAAAAAATACCGCGAGATGATATTATTATTTAAAGGAATTACTTCTTTTTTGAACAGCTTTGATTGGCGGGTATTTATTAAATAAAGAAATAAAAATACTGTATGTAGTAACAAAAAAGGGACACGGTCTTGGTCGTCGGAGGAGCAACGTTGCAAGATGATACTGACGTGTGCTTACGATTTACAGAGACCCGTCTTCCTTCTTTCCATCTCCTACTACAATTCAACGAATCTTTGATCTGATATCCATACACACACAGCGAGGATAAGAAGAAATACAGAGAGAGAGGTACAGTGACACTGTTCGCGTAAAGGCTAATCCTTTTTATACGACAGTTAGCAACTTTTCAACCTGCGATTTCTGAATCTCTCTTTCTGAGTTTGGTCTCTCTCTCTCTATCTCTTTGTTTCTGCTGAATTTCGTTTTATATTGCGTTTGTTTCGAGGTTTTTGTTCTAAATCTTTAAGAAACACAAATTTTAAATCGACAGGTTTTTTTAGTTGCTTTAACCGTTGCGGTTTTTCGGTTTTTTTTTTTTTTTTTGCTTTGGACAGAGATTCTATTGAGTAGTAATTGAAATCAATCTTATGTCTGGTTTTTAATAGTTAGAAGTCAAATCTCTGAATAGCGTTTCCTTTTTTTTCGTGGCAATCATTCTGATTAATGACAGAAACAGCTAACAGGTCTATCTTGCATTGATGAGTTGCTCTTGGTTCTCATGCCACAAGAGTGGAGGAGAACCTTCAGAAGTTGATAAAGGTACAAATATACGATTCTTAAAATAGAAAGAGGGTTACTAATTTATGCATAACTTTTAAGCTTGGAACGTTAACTATGCATAGTCTTGTTCCTGGTTTCCTCTTAATTTACTGTTTATCTTTTTGCTTACAGAAATCTCAGCGATAAACAAGGTGAAGATTTACAAATATAAAGAGATTCGTCAAGCTACAGATGATTTCGATGCCTTGAATAAGATTGGAGAAGGAGGGTTTGGCTCTGTGTACAAGGTAAAAAATGAGAAAACTCAGTTTCTTGCTCTTCTTTTTTCGAGTTCTTACTTCATTATGTTAACTCTTTGGGAGAAACATTTTGATTACTAGGGTCGTCTTAAAGATGGAAAGATTGCAGCTATCAAAGTCCTATCAGCTGAGTCAAGACAAGGTGTAAAAGAGTTTTTGACTGAGATAAACGTCATATCAGAAATACAGCATGAGAATTTGGTTAAGTTGTATGGATGCTGCGTTGAGGGGAGTCACAGGATACTTGTTTACAACTATCTGGAGAACAAGAGCTTAGACATGACACTTCTTGGTGATTCTCGTACTTTGTTTACTCAGGGGTTTTAATGTCTTTATTCTAAATGAATGAATGTTTTCTTTTCCAGCTGGGGGCTACATTAAGAGTGGGATACAGTTTGATTGGAGAACTCGGTCCAAAATCTGCGTTGGTGTTGCTAAAGGTCTTGCTTTTCTTCATGAAGAAGTACGTCCACACATTATTCATAGAGATATCAAAGCAAGCAACATTCTACTTGACAGAGATTTATCCCCCAAGATCTCCGACTTTGGACTCGCTAGGCTTATGCCACCGAACATGACTCATGTCAGCACTCGTGTCGCTGGTACAATGTAAGTTCCAAGTGTTTTTACGTTTTTTTTTCTTTGCTATTCTTGCTGAAAATTGCAGGTCCTTGTTTTGGAGCAGTGGTTATCTAGCGCCAGAGTATGCGGTTAGGGGGCAGGTGACGCGTAAAGCTGATATTTACAGCTATGGAGTTCTTCTGATGGAGATAGTCAGTGCGAGAAGTAACAAAAACACACGGTTACCCATAGGATATCAATATCTTCTAGAAAGAGTAAGTCTTGCCTTTTCTTGTTATTTTTGGAAAGTTCTCTTGCTTAGTTGTTTTCTAAGAGAGAACCTCTTTTTTTAACATTGCACAGGCTTGGGATCTTTATGAGAGGAATAAGCTCGTGGATCTTGTTGACACAGGGTTAAACGGAGTCTTTGACGCAGAGGAAGCTTGCCGGTACTTAAAAATAGGTCTTTTGTGTACGCAAGACAATCCTAAGCTAAGGCCAAGTATGTCCACAGTGGTGAAGTTGTTAACAGGGGAGAAGGATATAGAGAACAGGAACATAACCAGACCGGGTTTGATTTCTGATTTTATGGACTTGAAAGTGAAAGGACCGGTCGAGAAAAAGCAAGAGGAGGAAGTGAACAGACACAATAACTACACGAATCTATCTTCAGATAATAATGCTTCGTCTAGCTCCGGGACTAGAGATACCTCAAATGCTTACTCATCAGGGGCTTCTTCATCTACTGCGGTTTCTACACTCAGCAGTACCATTTCTTGATGTTGGGGAACTAAAGCGACCAGAGGTTTGTCTTCATTACTTTCTCATTAGCACCCCATGTCGCGAATTGTTGTACTTCTTCTGACCTTGTGGCGATTTGACCATTTGTGTGTGTGTAGGTTGTCAAGAAGACTGGGGTTATAATTAAACCGGTCAGGTTCGAGGAGGTAAATCCAAACGATGAAGTAGATGATGAACACACTCGAAACCATCAGAAACAAAGACCTCAAAAGAAAATTAGTAGACGCCAAAGCAAAGTCAACTCCAAGTAAAACAGATGGGAATGTTTTTTTGCCTTAGTAAACTTATCTTATTTATAAAATATAGACAATGTTGTTTTATTTCAGAGCTCTTAAAAACTCTTGTTCATCTCCATGTAAAACTCTTTCTCTGTTTCTTGGTTTTGATGTTTTTTTCCGGTATGTTCTTAATGCTTTGGTGAGTGATCCTTTCCGTGATTATGACATCCAAAATTAATGGTCAAATGCTTAAAAATTCGTGAAATGAATCTGGTGCTTGTGCAGCACGAAATGCAATTTTGGGCTTTTGTTTTTTGGTGGAGCTAAAACGAGTACAAAACTGGTTAAATATGTTTTTAAGTAGGTCATTTACTTCTAACCATCCATATCCACGAGCTAGCTCCCATTTTCACTCTACAACAGAAGCAATAATCACAAGTAATTTGATGAGTATCTATTTTGCAAATTAAACATTTTCTTAGGGATTATAGCTTCACCTGATAAGAGAGTAAGAGGTTCACAGAATCATATATCCATTTTTGGGACAACAACCTCAGGTGTCATCATGGTGAGCAGAAGACAACACTATGAAACCAATTAAAAAGATGTGTGTTACTTGAGGGAAACGTTTTCTTTACAAACAGTAGCTTAGTTGTGTTTGTTTATGACTTGATTGATTACTTTTAGTGCTTCGGCTGTACGGTCTGAAACTTGCCATCCTTGATCTCTATCAGAAAAAGTCCATCCTCCTTTGGAAATGTGGCGGTGCATCTTCTTGAAAATCACCAGAAGGGTTTTCCCTAATCTTCAAAGTTCTTTGATTCAGAAAAAAAAAAAAAAACTCAATTCACTCCTATAATGAAGATTTCAGAGGGTAGAGCTACCTGAGATCTCTTGATGAAATCATCATGTCCTTTCTTCAGTACATGAGAGATTTCATTAGAGAGATCACTAGCAAGTAAAGCTTGAACCGCAAGTGAGGTGTCCCAAAGTCGACTACCAAAACTCTGCATAAATACTTGACACTCAAGGAACCACAAGTTTTCTAACCCTAGATCATAAAACTATTGGAACTCTATTAATACCTGCATAAATATATAATATTTATGGTTTTAATAGCAATGATTATTTAAAGTATAAATATATAATATTTATGTTGATGATGCAATAGATGGTTTAGAAACAAAAATATAATTACTCAATATAATTAATATAATTGTAAGGGATGTTTTAAAATACTATTAAAAAGTATGTTTTACTTTTAAATTTATAAATATATTTTTTAAATAAATATATGCACGGTTGCACCAGCCAATGTCTAGTGTTCTTTTATTTTTGAAGTGAATAAATCCATCAATTCTCTCAACCAGGAAGAGGAAGACATTGGCTTCACAGCCTACTTTGGCAATTTCAGGTTGGTTTTGGGAAAAGCTGGAGATGCTGAGGCCACACACCAACGATCCTTCGACCTTGAAGAAAGGCCATGAATAAGATAAGATCTTTGGTTGCTTATTTCCTTAAACCCGGCCTATAGTGACCTGATTAAACACATATTGAGGATACATAAATTGCAGACTCGAGGAAGTATGTTCTCAGATTCAGAAAGAGCATAGATCTCTGCAGGTGAGAGAGAAGGTTCCTAAGTCCCCATGAGCCTCTACAGCTGAATATGATCCGAAGTTTTTTTTAATTACGTGTGTTACAAGCTAATCATTTAAGTTAACCACGCTTCAAAATTTGCAACTGTTGCCGTATTGCTGCTGCTTGTAAGATGATCATACATAACGTACCAATGGTTTAAACGGGTTTTGATTTGCTACCGGTTTGTGCTTTGGGATATGATTATTATTAAATTGAGTAACAGTAAAGAAGTTGATAGCTGTAAAGATAAACAAATCAAAAGCAGAAGGATAAAACTCGTAAATTATCAATATACTCGATCGGACGGACAGGAAACCCATCTCCGACACTAGTCCTTGTTTGTCCGTTCGATTTTTATTTTATTTTTAACTGATCAGACTCTTTTTTTTTGTTTGTTTGAAAATTCAGACTTTTTCAATTTTTTCAGTTGAAAATTCAGACTAGTAAAGAAACTTTTTTTTTTTTTTTTGAACAAGACTAGTAAAGAAACATAATGCGACTTTTGTTTACTAATTGCTAAATGAAATTGAAAAAATCTAAAAAAATTACAAAATCCCCAAAATTGAGTGACCTCCCGAAAAATCCTCAATTCGAAGAACTCCTAACCCGAAAAAGTCTCAGATTTTATGAAAATTTGTTGATAACTCTTAGCCTCAAGGTTTTGGAATCTCTTTCTAGTTTTTCTTTAAATCTGCTCTGCTTGTTTGATCCTAATTTGTGTGAGTTCTCACGTGCCATCGTATCTTCACTGACTTGATTGCTCTGTTCCAAGTTTGCTTTTTTCTTTTGTGCATTAGTTTCAAGGTTTTATTTTAATTAATTTGGTTACTTTCTGATTACTTCTTTTACTGTCTGCTTTGACGATCATAGTGGATGATTCTAGTTCAACTTGTAATTGCGATAAAACTATGCCACACTTTCGTTTTATGAGAAGATGTTTATTGTTATGCAGGACATTTACACGAGGTACAAGGTGTATTGTGTGTTAAGAACTGCTTTACTGAGATCATCTGAAGAATAAATAAGAGCTGGAAAATGAGCTCTCGATCTTCTGAAAGAGGGACAGTGACGCAGAATAACGAGAACTCTCAAATGCAGAACTTAGTTGCTGCTTCAGCTCGTGGTGGTGGTGGTGAAGAGCCTTCACGTAGCATCGTTGGTCCTATGGACAATGATATTTTAAAACTCAGACGGTACATGCAAAACCTAGTGTAAGCCTTCAACTTGTCATCTACACCGTTTGTTTCTTCCAGCTATATATAGTATGTCTATGTTTCGTTACATCTTATATTTGCTTATTATGGATTGAGTTACTGCTATCTTAAATAAAGTGGCTTAGGAATGATCGACTGATTAGTGTCTTTTGTTTTTTTTTTTGCTAAATTATATTCTTTTTGACTGATTAGTGTCTTGGCTGCATTACTGTATATAATTTTTTTTTTTGCTTGCTTAAGACCTGATATCTTTGTGGTTCTGTTCCTTGAGTAAAATCTGATAATGGCGGACTGTTTTTGACTTAGCCTCATTGATCTTCCAGATTTAACATTTTGGAGCAACGACAACCACCTCTGGCTGATGCTGCAACAAAGGCAAAGTATATCGATGTTGCTAGACGCTTAGAGGAGGAGCTGTTTAAGATGGCTATGTCAAAGGTATTTCAAAACGTTTCTGTTTGGCCAAAGAAAAACATACTTTATCTGTAGTTGGCATTAGATTTTTGGTTTATTAGGGATTTCCAACAAGTTGACTCATGTTTTTATTTTAAATCCTTTTTGTTTTGTTTGTGTCACTTTCCAACTTCTACTACAGGAGGATTACTTGAACCGGTCAACCCTTGAGTCTCGGATTGCAAGCCTGATAAAAAAACCTCACAATCAGCTACATACTAATTCTTGTATGGTTGGAACGATGGTACCTACTACAGGGTTATCACACGCTGAGGGTACTTCTAGTTCGATGGTTACGTCCTCTGCTTATGATAGTGTTCGTTTAGAGCCTTCATGCCACACTGTTGTTCCCATGGACCATGATGTGTTGGAACTTCGAGAGTACATGCGAACCCTTGTGTAAGCCTTTTCCAACTTTTCAGCTACACTGATTGATTCTTACTTGCACTAACTCTCTGTTAGTTTATTATATGTTTCCATTACTGTCTTGGATCTGTATACTTGGGTGCATATCTACTCATTTTCTTTATTATATTGGTGTTTCTGCTCCTGAATATGCCACTTTCTTGGATTCCTTTGGTGTTTTTAATTGACTAATTGTCCGCCCTCTGAGTATTTTACTTAGCTGGTTTCTAACTAAACTTTCATTCTTTCCAGCTTCAGCGAGTTACATAAGCGCCAACCATGTCCAGCCGATGATGCATCAAAGGCTAAGTATTTAGATATTGCTAGACGCTTAGAGGAGGGTATTTTTCAAATGGCAAACACAAGGGTACTATTCTCAAAAACTTTACTTGATTGAGATATTCGGTAATGCGCAACATTGATTGACTGAGACAAGAATAGGCTGACTCTTATAGAGTCCAGAATGTGATTTGCCTCCAGCTTACTGAATCATGTCGTCACTTTATAAGATCCTTCTTTCAGTTTTTTGACACTTCAATAATTCAATAACTACAGGAGGATTACCTTAACCCATCGACCCTTGCTTCTCGCTTGACAACCTTAATAAGAGGCATACAATTGAATAATCAGCAAAATGCTTATTCATCTCCGCCTGGAACAATGACTACACTCGCTCATGGAGTTTCTCCTGAGACGACGATGGTACATGATCATAGATAGACCTATATAATAACTGCTCATGATATTTAACTAAAACTAAGAGACAACATTCTGATCTTTGTGACTTTTTCTATATGTTTGGTCTCAGCAGGTGGGAGAGAAGGTTCCTGAGTGCGAAGATGAGTTGGAGATAGAGATTGCAGAAAATCTGAAGTCCATGAGCCTCTACAGCTGAACATGATCCGAAGCTTTTTCATTACTTGTGTTACAAGCAATAAGATCATCATGTAAGACAGTTACTTGCAAACACTGTTACTGCATTGCTGCTGCTTGTATAGTGTATGATCGTACGTACCAATGGTAAACCGAGGTTTGATTTGTTTTCGGTTTGAGCGTGGGATATGATTAATTAAATTTGAACTAGATTTTGACCCGCGCAACCGCGCGGGTGTTTGTTTTCGTTTATAGTTATATAAACATTTTGTTTTCACTTGTAAATTGGTATATATTATAATAATCACATATTTACGATATGCATAGTAAATGTCTTTCAAACATAATAATATTATATAATAAGTGTTTTAATCAAATAGATTGTTTCAAATTTTCTATATTATACATGACTTTCAAACATGTGTTTGTTTCTTCTTCTATATTTTATTGTTTGTTAGATTAGTATTTCATTTTTAGATAAAGTAATATAAATAGAGCTTAATTAAATATTAGTGTAATTTAATTTGAAAAGATAATATAAACTTCGAAGAAGTTTTTGCTAAAAACTAAACTTATAGCTTTATAAATTAATATTATAAAAAGTTTATTAAAAGGAACTTTTTAAACAATTTCTTTTTTTTTTAAACAATACAATTTTAAAATTTTACATCGAAATAAATTTATCTAATATATATAACATGTAAATTTTGTTAAGGTATATAAATATTACATATTAATAATCTGTGATTTTTGTTAATATATTCTGGATGCATTTAACTATTATTGACATATTTCCTTGTAAATAATAGAAGATTCCTAAATTTATATCTATTGACATATTTTGCGTGACTAAATTGGAAGGTGTGGGGTAATTTACCAAAACAAAATTGTTAAGCATATTATAAGATATAATAATGATAATATTATTAGAGAGTTAATATAACATAATTTTCTAGTAACAGTTCATTTTTTAAAAAATCACACATGAAATCAAGTCATGACTTCTGTTTTAATATATAAGACTAGATCATAACCCGCCCGACTGGGCGGGTATTTGTTTTTATGGTATATATAAACATTTCAAAAATTACAATCTAATGGTTTCAATTTGACTAAGTAATAGTACATTATTTAAACATTGTATTTCATCACTGTATTGTGTAACAGGGGCGTCGCAAAATATTGTGACCCGTAAACATTTTATTAATAGTTTATAATTTTTTTTTTTTGCTAAATTTGGTGCAAAGTTATATACATTAAACAATTTATTCAAATTTTAAGTTAATTTTTTAATGAAGAATTGAAAGGCTAATATATCACTGTTAAAAATTTATAACAATAGTCAATATAAATTATATAAATAAAATATATAGTATTCTTGATTTATTTTAAATACATTTAAAACATAAATACATATATGTATAAATAATTTTCAGAAATAAAATAATATCAATGATAGAAACCCAAAAACAATAATAATGATATTTTGGGTCGCAGTAATCTTTAGTTTAATAAATAAGCCCATTAGATTTGTAGGCTATCCTTGTTTCCAATCATTATAATTTTAAATACCTATTCATGTTTTCAAACACTAATTTTTTGTACTTCAGCTTTAATAGTATAGATGGTTTTGTTACTCTTTTCACTTAGTCGGTTACAAGAACAGAAACTAAATAGCTGTAAAAAAAATAAACAAAGCTAAAAATAAGGGTAAATTCGTAAATTACTAGCCACATTACACGATCGCACGGACAGGAAACGTAACAATTCTCCGACACCTGTTTTTGTCCGTTCGATCTTTCGAACTTTGGTTCCTCAACGATATGCATGAATATGGACTTAAATATGAAACATAAGGTAATAAGTCTTATTGATCAAAAAAAAAAAAAAAAAAAGGTAATAAGTCGTGTTTCAAAAAAAAAAAAAGGTAATAAGTCTTATTTTATGTGAATTTGTTTTACTAAATCAAAATTGAAATCCCTAAAAACTTACAAAATCCCCAAAATTGAGAGAGAGCTTCCGAAAAATCCCCAAATTCGAAGACCTCCGACCCCGAAAAAATCTCCGGTTTCTGCAAAATATTTGTCGATAATTCGTTTATAACTGCGCCTCTAGTTTTGGGAGTCTCTTTCTGGGCTTTTCTCAACTTTGCTTGTTTTGATTCTAATTTGCCTCCCTGCGTATTCACACGTGCGACATCGCCTCTGTTCTAATCACGTTTTGTCTCTGTGACCTTGTGAGTAAAGTTTGCTTCTTTGTCTTCAAGGTTTGATTTTTTTAGGTTATTTTTTTTAATTTATTTATTTGGTTGCTTTGATCATCATAGTCTATGATTGTAGTTGAAGTGTATTATTGATCATGCCATGAAGTAATGAGATTGTTTTTGCAGGACATTACACGTTGTGTTCTGTGTTAAGAGCTGCTGTACTGAGATCATCTGAAGAATCATTTAATAGCAAGAAGAATTGGGGAAAAACATGAATGTTCAGGCTCACATGTCGGGACAACAACGGTCTGGGCAGTCTCCAAACCAAGGGACAGTGCCGCAGAATAACGGGAACTCTCAAATGCAGAACTTAGTTGCTGGTTCAGGGGCTGGTGCTGGTGCTAGCGTAGGGACTTCACGTAGCACCGTTGGTCCAATGGACCATGATATTTTAAAACTAAGGCAGTACATGCAAATCCTTGTGTAAGCCTTCAACTTTTTCATTATACACCGTTTGTTTCTTCCGGCTATAGTCTTTTTTTTCTTATAATGGATTTGAGTGCTTTTATCATCGAACTAAATACTGTCTCTGGTGCATTGCTGTATATATTATGAACTTATATTTTAGTGTTTTTGTTCCTTTGAGTTTTTCTTGTTAATTACTTCCATGGCGGACTGTTTTTTTAACTGAGCCTCCTTGATCTTTCAGATTTAACGTTTTGCAGCAACGGCAACCATCTCCGGCTGATGCTGCATCAAAGGCAAAGTATATGGATGTTGCTAGACGCTTAGAGGAGGGGCTATATAAGATAGCTATGTCAAAGGTATTTCAAAACATTTCTGCGTGGCCAAAGAAAAACATACTTTTATCTGTAGTTGGCAATAGAGTTTGGTTTATTAGGGAATTCCAACAAGATTAGCTCATTAGCTGATGCTTTCTGACATGTGGCATCTGGCTCTAGCTTATTGACTCATGTTTTTATTTTAAATCCTTTTTTTGTTTTGTTTGTGACACTTTCCAACGACAGGAGGATTACTTGAACCGGTCAACCCTTGAGTCTCGGATTGCAAGCCTAATAAAAAACAGACACTTGAATAGCTACAATCAGCGACATGCTAATTCTTCTTCCGTAGGAACTCCAACGATGATACCTACTCCAGGATTATCACACGCTGGGGGTAGTCCTAGTTCGATGGTTAGACCCTCTGCTAATGCTACAATACCTGGAAATAACAACAGCACAAGTACAGCTGTGAATACTGGAAACCTTGTAGCTTCTGCTGGCATGCATGGAGGTTTTTTTTTCCATTAAAGTGGTCGTATATACTTTTCCCGGAAATTTTCGTCTCATGTGTCTCTGACACCGGAGCAACTTGTTTGCAGGTAATATGTCCAATGGATACCAACATTCATCGAGAAACTTTTCTCTTGGTTCTCGAGGGAACATGACATCCATGGGTTCTCAAAGAAGTACTCCTCAGATGATTCCTACACCTGGGTTCGTTAACAATGGTACTAATAACAGTGGTGCATTTTCTGCTGAGCCCACGATGGTACCTAAGTCTCAGCAGCAGAAAAAGGAGGATGCTGGTGGTCAGAATAGTCACATCATGTCCAACAAAATAACTGCTGGCCGTAGACCCGGGATGCAACCAAATGCAGCTAGTGTTGCCATTAACTCTGTAAAAGGTGGTGTTGGAGTGAACGAAAAAAGTGTAGACAAAGGTAACTCTTCAACAAATATACAGCAGTCAATTGACTAGTAGTACGTACCAGTCATAATATCTAAAGCATGTTTCTTCATTTCAGGGGAAGTTTATAGGACAACAAATCCTGACACCCTTGGATCTGGAAATGCAGCAAGTTTCCAGTCTGTGTCCAGAGCTAACTCTTCTCGGGTGAGCAATCAGTCGATTTCATTTGCATGCAGCAATGCACACCGCTTAAACATATATATGATTTTTAGTATTCAGACTTCCAATTTTCTTTCCCTAAATTATCTGCAGTCACATCCACAACAACAATTTCCGCAACAACCTAATCAGATTCATCTGCAGCAGCAGAAGTTTCTCCAGCAGACCGTGCAGCAACATAAACTAATAAGCAATGATGGTTCAGAGCAACCTCAGGTGGCTTCTGAAATGGATACGGATGTTAAGCATGAACCTAGAATGGAGAACAATAGTGAAGTTATGCACTCCCAAGCATCTGAACGGCTCCAGCTTTCTCAGTTCCAGAATCAATATCAGAACTCTGGAGAAGACTGCTATGCAGACGCTCAGCAACATTCAGTTACAAGTCAGAGTGATATATGCATGTCACTTCCTCAGAATAGCCGACAGATTCAGCAAAATACTCAAATGTCTAATGGTATGTCAAGTCAACAGAACGTTCAGGAGGATTTTCGTCAAAGAATTACCGGGATGAATGAAGCTCAACCTAATACCTTGACCGAAGGGTCTGTTGTTGGTCAGAATCATACTTCTACCGTATCCAGTTCCCATAGTCTGCAGAATCCTATTGGAACAATGCGTAGATTTGGGAATCCCGATCCCAAGTACCGAAACCAACAGAGATGGCTCTTGTTTTTACTTCATGCACGGACCTGTAACCCGCCAGGGGGGAAATGCAAAGACCGAAATTGTGTTACTGTTCGGAAACTATGGAGTCACATGAACACTTGTGTTGAACCTCAGTGCTTATATCCTCGGTGTCCTCACACAAAGGTGCTGATTAGCCACTATAAAAACTGTAAGGATCTTCGGTGCCCTGTCTGTACGGCAGTGAAAACCTACCGTCAGCGACAAGCTAATGCGTGTTCCCAGACCCCTTTCCAAAACGAAAGCAGCGCAGTGAACGGAGCTGTAGTAGCAAATGATTCATTATGCGCTACTTCTGGAGCGGTTTCTGGTTCCCTTGGGGATGATGATACTTTAGATAATTTGCAATCTTCATCAAAACGGTTGAAGGTGGAGTCTTCTTTTCAACCAGTGGTTCCTGAGACGGAGAGTTGTAAAAGCTCCGCTGTTTCCAATACAGAGACAGAATTATCTCAGGATCATAGGAACTGTGATGCACATGTGGCAGTGAAGTCAGGGAAGTTGGAAGGGAAAGAAGAAGTTTGTGATATTTCTGTTCAAGCAGGATTGGGCACCAAAGAGATAAAAGATGAAGCTTTTGAAAATGTTCACAAGCCTAGTCCTGCTAGTGAACCAGGTCAACATGATTTATCTGGTGTCTTGCCAATGCAAGAAAACATAAAAATGAAGCAAGAGCCAAATAAAGAAGATTTGGTGAAGTCTCCTGAGGAGGCACCAAAATCTGGAAAACCAAAGATAACGGGTGTTGCTTTAACTGAATTGTTCACTCCTGAACAAGTGAGAGAACATATTCGTGGTCTTCGTCAGTGGGTTGGCCAGGTGTGTATTGACTTCAAAAATTTAGAGAAAATAAGTTTTATTCACATTTATCTCTTTTTTTACTCTTCGTTGCATTGGTTTTATTGTTGTTATTCGTTCAAGATGAATCTCTTGCTATATAGAGGCGCAATTAGTTCTCTCCACATTATCTCAATTATGTGATCGGTGATGCATAACTTTTTGTTTAATTTCTATTTATCTGCAGAGTAAAGCTAAAGCAGAAAAGAATCAGGCCATGGAGAATTCGATGAGTGCTAATTCCTGCCAGTTATGTGCGGTGGAGAAGCTTGCATTCGAGCCAGCACCTATATATTGTACTCCGTGTGGTGCTCGTATCAAAAGGAACGCAATGTACTATACTGTTGGAGGTGGTGAAACTCGTCACTACTTTTGTATTCCCTGTTATAATGAATCCCGAGGAGACACTATACTCGCCGAAGGGACTTCAGTACCAAAGGCAAAACTCGAAAAAAAGAAAAACGATGAAGAGACTGAAGAAGCGGTAAGACTATCCACTTAGTAGAGTTGTATAGTCATGTGCCTCCCGCTTTGTATGTTTTACTGAGCCTGTCTATTGCTTTCCATGTTTTTTTGCAGTGGGTCCAGTGTGATAAATGTGAGGCTTGGCAACATCAAATATGTGCTCTATTTAATGGGCGGAGGGATGATGGGGGACAAGCTGAGTACACCTGCCCAAACTGCTATATAACTGAGGTGGAGCAAAATGAGAGGAAGCCTTTACCTCAAAATGCTGTTCTTGGAGCGAAAGACCTGCCAAAAACGATTCTCAGTGACCACATAGAGCAACGTTTGTTTAAGAGACTGGAGCAGGAAAGGGCTGAGAGAGCCAGGGCTCAAGGAAAAAATTATGATGAGGTAATCTGGCAGTTAGCGTGTACAATGTTTAAGGTCTCATGTGATTCTGCATCTTTGAGTCCTATCTTCTGTTAGATAACTGTAGGGCTTCTTCACTGGAAGCAACAGATTGAAGTTACTGGGTGGTCGCTCATTGTTTTCCTTTTTTCTTAACTGGCACTGACAGGTTCCAACTGCTGAATCCCTTGTGGTTAGAGTTGTTTTATCTGTTGACAAGACGCTGGAAGTCAAATCTCGATTTCTTGAAATTTTTAGGAAGGATAATTTCCCCACAGAATTTCCATACAAGTCTAAGGTATTGTATTTGCTTCACGTCCACATTTTCAAGATATCATCCGTCCAATAATACATTTCACCCCACCTTTTGTGTTGCCAGGTGGTTCTATTGTTCCAGAAGATTGAAGGTGTAGAAGTCTGCTTGTTTGGGATGTATGTCCAAGAATTTGGATCTGAATGTTCATCTCCTAATGAGCGCCGTGTTTATCTCTCGTATCTGGATTCTGTAAAGTATTTTAGACCTGATATTAAATCTGCTTATGGAGAGGCTCTGCGGACTTTTGTATACCAAGAAATTCTTGTAAGTCGTGGTCTTAACCAAGATTGGTGTGGTCTTTACATTTTTTGGAGGATTCAAGGGTAACATTTGATGTTTTTTTCAGATTGGTTACCTGGAATACTGCAAATTGCGTGGTTTCACGAGCTGTTATATATGGGCGTGTCCACCACTGAAGGGTGAGGACTACATCCTATATTGCCATCCAGAAATTCAGAAAACGCCAAAATCTGATAAACTACGGGAGTGGTCAGTCCAATTGCCTATGTGTTTCTTTTCATAAATTTTTCGTATTTTATTAAATAATTTACATACTCCATATGCTTCTGGTACAGGTACTTGGCAATGTTGAGAAAAGCTGCAAAGGAAGGGATTGTAGCGGAAACTACAAATCTATATAACCATTTTTTCTTGCAAAGTGGTGAATGTAGAGCTAAGGTTACGGCAGCTAGGCTTCCGTATTTCGATGGTGACTATTGGCCAGGTGCAGCAGAGGATATCATACACCAAATGGGTCAAGAAGATGATGGTAGAAAGGGTAATAAGAAGGGAATACTCAAGAAACCCATTACAAAAAGGGCTCTAAAAGCATGTGGCCAGTCTGATCTGTCTGGGAATATGTCCAAAGATCTGCTGCTAATGCAAAAAGTAATAATTTCTTTCTATGGACGTTTCCTCTCCTTTATGCCAGCTTCAGTAATTCGGTTCATTTGTATAGTTTTGTATGTTTACGTGTTAATATTGTTTATGTATGTTTTTAGCTTGGTGAGACCATTCACCCCATGAAGGAGGACTTTATCATGGTTCACTTGCAGCATTGTTGCACGCATTGCTGTGCACTAATGGTAACTGGAAATCGTTGGGTCTGTAGCCAATGCAACGATTTCCAGTTATGTGATGGGTAAGAATTGTCCTTTCTCTTTTGCCTAGTTTTTTTAATCTGTATAGTGCTACAATCTCTGATACGTTCTTTTACCTTTCAGGTGCTATGATACTGAACAGAAAAGAGAGGATAGAGAAAGGCATCCTGTAAATCAGAAGGATAAACATACACTGTATCCTGTAAGTTACATTGTCTTATGATACAAGTTACGGTTTGACATACACTTTAGCTCACGAGATGGTGTTTTTAATTTTTGTTTTGTAGGTTGAGATCACAGGTATTCCTGAAGACACCAAGGACAAAGATGAGATACTAGAAAGTGAATTTTTCGATACGAGGCAAGCATTCCTGAGTCTTTGTCAAGGGAACCATTATCAGTATGATACATTGAGGCGGGCAAAACATTCTTCCATGATGGTGCTTTATCATCTTCACAATCCAACTGCTCCTGCCTTTGTCTCAACGTGTAACGCATGTCACCTCGATATTGAGACTGGTCAAGGCTGGCGCTGTGAAGTTTGCCCTGACTACGATGTATGCAATGCTTGTTACCGTAAAGAGGGATGTGTTAATCATCCTCACAAGCTGACAAATCATCCATCACTAGCTGACCAAAATGCTCAGAATAAAGAAGCTAGGCAATTGCGAGTTTTGCAGCTCAGGAAAATGTTGGATCTTCTGGTGCATGCGACGCTATGCCGTCGTGCGGCAAATTGTCAATATCCTAATTGCCGCAAAGTGAAGGGGCTATTCCGACATGGTCTAGGTTGCCGGATACGTGCTTCAGGGGGTTGTGGTCTATGCAAGAAAATGTGGTATCTCTTACAAATTCATGCCCGGGCCTGCAAGGAATCAAACTGTGCTGTACCACGATGCGGGTAATCTCTTTAACATATCTCCCTGTCTATTATTTTTGCTATTGGTTTCTTTGTGGGATCATTCATTTGCTACCCTTTTTTCAACAAGTAAAAACATCAAATCGGAAATCTCTCTTTTCTTTCCCAGAGGCTTTGTTTTTTTTCATGCTTCATCTGAGACATGCTGTGGCTTTTATATATTTAGAACTCTGGCAAAGCCTTTTTTGAATGAATTGTCATTGTGATTTGTATTTGATCATTGTGAATTGGGTCTATGCAGAGACCTAAAGGAACATTTGAGAAGGTTACAACAGCAAGCAGATTCACGGCGCAGAGCAGCCGTCATGGAGATGATGAGGCAGAGAACTGCTGAAGTCGCTGGGACCTCGGCTGATTAATTTTGTATATACTTTTTTCATTTAGGAACAGAAGTGGAAATAGATAGAAGAAGCTGTGGCGTCTCTGAAGAGGTGAAACACACCAGCTAGTGAAGACACGTAAGAAGCAGGAAACAAACTTTGGATAGATTCGTATTTAATTTCACGAGTAATGGAGTGATGATGATGATGATAACTTAGGAAACATGTTCTTTGGTGATTTGAAGAGTTTCTCAGCTCAAGTGCCTCCGAAGTAGAAGTAACTTATGCTCTGGTAGCGTCACAAAAAAGGAAGAAATCAAATTCCAGACTCCTTTAACTCAGTTCAGTAGCTTGATCTGGTTAGTGATTCATTGATTATACATACACACTCTGTTTCTGCTTACAATAACTTTTCTTCCTCTTTCTTCTGCTGTTCTTTTTGGTCACTTTGTGTATTTATAAAACGCCATAAGTCTTTAACATTTTTGATTCACTGTATTAATAACATTCTCATATCTTTAACTGAAATAGTAACAAGGTCAACACTGTGACGAGATTTTCCTGATCCTTAATTTCTGTATTTTATAATAAAAGTAGCTCTTATGGGAACTATGTATTAGAACATGTAAAGTGGGCATCTTCACTCATTATAATCAAAACCCGTCAAAGCTTTGAGAAAGTTAACTTTCTGGCGGATGCCTCTTTGGATTCATCTTCTTCTTCTTCCTCTCCGTTAATGGCTTCCTTCTCCGCATCATCCACAATCTGTTCAGAGAAGTACGTCGTAATTCCAACAAATAAACAAAAATCTTTTTTACCAAAAACAAAAAAAAAAACAAACAAAAATCTAAAATCTGGTGAACTAAAAAAATTATAAAGACACTAACCTTCCCGGTTACAGAAGGAGAAACAGAGGGAAGAATAACAGAAAGATGAGTTTTAATCCGGTGCAACGCGTCTTTAGTCATCCCCTGCGCCGCACCAGCGAAATCTTTAATCACACCTTCTAAAAACTGTTTAGCGTTCTCCAGCGACTCCGATGGAACCGCAGCAGCCGCTAGCTTCTCTAATACTTTATCCTTAACCGTCGCGAGACTCTTCAGCCCCAACATCCTCTGCTTCTCACCGTCCTCCTCCTCAGAGTTAAGCTTAGTCTTCTCTGAGATTTTTTCGTTTGTAGCGATTTTGATCGCGTGGTCAGGAGAATAGAGTTCACCCTGTCCCACGTTTTCTTCGAGTTTTGTAGTGACTTTGATCGCGTGGTCAGGAGAGTAGAGCTTCCCTTGGCCCACACCGTCGGATCTCGTGGCGGAGAGTCGTTGATGATGATGATCCATCGGTTCTCCTCACTCCCGTTTGTACTTTAAGACACTTCAAAAGTCTTTTCTCTTTGGAGTTTCTCTGTGTGGTGATGGGGACGGCACCACGAACAGAGCAAAAGCCACTTATAATCTGTGGAAAATGATTTTCCGGGAACGTAATAATTCTGTTTTGTCTGTTTCCCGCGAAAAAATGAAAGTTTGTGACACGTGTTAAGTATTTTAATGACGTGGCAACACGTGTCTGTTAAGTGATAGTGGAGCAAGGCCCATTAGATAAAGATAATGGGCTTTATTAAGTTTGTGACTTAATGTGTTAATTTAATTGTGTGATCGGGGTTTATCTCGGATCTGATCCGACCCGACCCGGAACTGAAACACACAAGGGAAACAGTAAACACAGAGGTTGTGCGGCGTTTCAAGGGAAAGGAGGAAGAAAGAGAAGACAGTGGAGAAAGATGAATAAGAAGGAGATCTTCAAGCTAGCAAAGGGGTTCAGGGGAAGAGCGAAGAACTGCATAAGAATCGCGAGGGAGAGAGTTGAGAAAGCTCTTCAGTACTCTTATAGAGATAGGCGCAACAAGAAACGTGAGATGAGAGGTCTCTGGATCGAGCGTATCAACGCCGGCTCTCGTCAGCACGGTGTACGTTTATTTGCAGCCTCCAAATTTGATTAGCATTGTTTTATATGCATTTGATTCGATTTTGTTCTAGTTACGAGATGATTAATGTAGAAATGAAACTTCGGAGATAGTGGTTAGCTTAATTTGCGATCTGGATCAGCTCTTTCAGGGTCGATGATCTTTTAGTAGTTTATTTTGTAAAAATTGAGTGCTTGATTCCTCAGGAGTTTGATATTTAGGGTTTATGGTTAAGGTTTAGAGATTTACTCCCTCCTTTCCTGAATTTGGGATGTATTAAAGAATTTTAATGTTTTAAAATATAAGATGTTTTTCATTTTTCTAGATAACTTTTACTTTATTAAAAACTGTATAACCAATCATATTTAATAATCTATTTTGTAATGGGTTAATTATCACTAATTTATAGTTTCATTGATATTTTCTAGACAAAAAGTAATTTTTTTAATATGTGTTTTTACTTAAACATCTTATATTTGGGAACGGAGGAAGTAGTATTTAGGGTTTAGTGCTTTAGTGGTTTAGAGTTCTCTTAAATTTTTCTTTTTATGACTTCTGTTAGCTTGTAGTCTTGGTTCCATTGTTAATTGGTTTGTATATCTCTTCTGCGTCTGTGCTATTATACGGGGATCAATACTCTGTTTCTGCTAAAGATACTTGAACTTACTTGTTTGGTTGGAATCTTAACATTTAAAGCTTGAAAAACAGGTAAACTACGGTAACTTTATCCACGGACTGATGAAGGAGAACATCCAGCTGAACCGGAAAGTCCTCTCTGAGCTGTCAATGCATGAGCCTTACAGCTTCAAAGCACTCGTGGATGTCTCTCGCAACTCATTCCCTGGAAACAAGAACGTGGTCCAAGCGTCTCGGAAAGTAGACATTTCTTCCATCAACGCCTAGTTTTAGGACCAAGTTAGTTTCATCTCTCTCCCTAATTTATTCTCTTTCGAACAGAACACAGTGATGATTCTAATAAACACATGTACACCACCGGCCCGGTGATTACTATTAAACTTTTTTGCAATCTTGAAAACATTTCTGTCTTTCTTATTTCTTTTAGCAATTCTTAATCCATTAATTAGTGTATTTGAATCACCTAAACCCTAGCAACGGGAACAATGTGTGCTCCATCATTACGGAAGAAACAGATACCGGAACCGTGAATCAAAAGGAATAACACCGCATTTGCTACTAGATGAATCCAGGAACCCCCACCATTGTCTCCGGTGAATACACTGCTCAACAAATGCGGCTTGGCGAGGAGGCAAGTGTCGTGAAATCCACAGAGCAACCTTGTTTTCATCCACAAAGTTCTTGCCGAAACAGTGAAGCATCTTGGGTACAATCAACTTCCCTCTGGGGCTCACTCCCACTGACGCCTGGATATAATCTTTCTGAGCGTCTTCAAGTTCCTCTACTACGTTCTCAGCTGAGTATATCCTCACCTGCAGGTAGGTGATTTCTGTTAGAAACTTGCAATGTCTACTAAAAAGGAAATCTGATTCAGAAAGATTACCGCTGGGGATGAGTGCATTCCGCAGCTGAGAGCGAAAGATACTAGAGGTTCATGTGTACTTATCCCTGCCTGTTTCTGTTCTTCTGATACTTTCAGCTTTAGAATGGAGAGAAGCAGAGCCTGAAACTCCCGGTTTAGGTAAGAGGGTTAGAATAGTTAGTGAAGAAATTGCAGAGACTATGGAAGTTTAAGCTTAGTTTAGTACAATCTGAGGTCGATGCAGAGGAGAGTTCATCTTTAGAGTCATGTATTCGATCGTTGCTGCGTTGTATGAATGCCCACCAACTGTATAAGCAGCCTGATAGAATAGAGACTTACATTAACCTCTGTCCGAACCAAACCAAGAAGTGTGTTGTGTGTGGAGATCAAACCTTTTGCATCAAGGAGAAGAACTTTAAGTCTGTTTTTGGTACTCCATAAGCCAAGTAAGCCTGAGTCAGACAAACTTCAAATTTTGTAAATTTGTATATGCAAATTCAAAACTCAGGGAAATTTGAAAAGACATCATTACATGCATGATCAAGGCATTGTATATGTTGATCCAGAAAGCGAGCTTCTCGTTGTGGCTTAGCTCTGTTGGATTGACTCTGGCAAGTCTTTCTACAAGGCGTCTGTCATGAAGAAACCAGATAAGGGTCTTGTCTTCTCAGAAGTTTCTTAAAAGATGTGTTAATAGTATTACCTGAATCTCCATAACTCATCTGAAGCATATCCGAGCCGTTTCTCCTCAACAGACATGGAAGCCACTTCAGTTGCTGATCTGTAACTTCCTATATCAGCCCAGCTCAGCTTTCCTTGGACTCTATACGGATCAAACACGTTGTTCTCTGTTGCTAAAACATCTGAGTTCTTCTTGATATCGATTTTTGGGCTCTGTACCCACTTGGAGATCCGGGAATGTTCTGAAGGCGACCACCATGTTGATGATGATGATGAACCATTCTTGCGAGTAGGTGAGAAACCTACAATCTCTTGTGAGGATTTGGAACCTGCAGATGTCTCTCCGAGAGATACAAATATGTTTCTCATGCATCTTATCATCTCCTTGGATAGCTCATTAGCGTTATCAAAACTTTGCAAAGACCTAGGCACTTTGCTTTTGTGATCTTTGCGGCGTAATGTTTCTTTCTTTTTGGAAAACCTAACCAAATCTGTAGCATTCTGAGAAACCATCTTATAGTCAGAGCCAATCTCAGCACCCAAAGATTAGACAACACTAGAGCATTTAGTTATTAACATACAGGTGGAGATAGAGAATGTGTCAGTCTGTACTCAGCAAGTTTTCTCTCGTTTCGTTCTTGAATCAGCAAGAAGTGTAGAGACATGATCTCTTCTTCGAGCATAGAGACTGTAGCTTCCATAGTTACTATACTAGAGAGAAGTTCTTGAACCTGAAAATGAGGAACGTTCACAAATCACAAGGTTCTCTAAACGTAAGAAAAGCTGTAGGAACATACACTGCGTGGGAGAGAAGATGTATGAGACAGCTCAATCTTGTGGCTTTGATCAGAAGCTTTCAGCAATAGAGCACGAAGTGAAGTCTCTTTTTGCAGTTGATCTTTTAATTGCTTCACCTGTTTCATATCAGAACAGAACTGAGTCATTCTTACAGACTTCTCTATATGGTTACAAGAGAGGTGACTGAAACTCACATCATGCTCGAGTTCGAACTTGTAGAGGTGGTGAAACTTGGTGTTCTTGGGAGAATCAAGATCGTTTATCTCTCTAGTAGTATTCTTTGGCTGTAATTTTCAAAGAAAATAGTCTCATAAGAAAGTGAGTTTCAAGCAATATAAAAGTTCATTGAGTTGGCAGCTTGAGGAGCAAGTTAATGGAAACTGAACCTGCGAGAGACTAGCTGATTTGGTCTGAAAGAATCTGGACAAAGAACTTCCTCTGCAAAACATATCAGTGAGGAACATATTAGGAAGAAACAGAGAGTAGGAAGAAAAGAAACCGAGAAGAAAGGAATGGAATTATACTGTTTAGAAGCGAGCAGAGAGTCTCCAGACATTGTATGATCAAAACCTATTCAACGGTGTGTCGGTGCAATAACTTAGTCTGGATCTCTCCAGAGGGGTTAATGACTCAACAAAATGAGGTTGAGACAAAGAAGCTTGTGATCAAGGAAGAGGAAAGAGAAGAGTGGACAGAGGAGAAAGAGGTTGAGACATCTGTGAAGATGAGTTGAATAGGATCGGGTCCAAAGAGAGACTCAATAAATGCAAAGAGAAATTTTTTAGCTATTTGTCACTTTCATCACAGCCCCCCATTGCACGAGTTGTTCTACTCGAAAAAAACAGAGTAAAAATTAAAGGCTGAAACTTTATCTTCCCAAACCGTTGAAGTAATTTTCATAGATTGGTTAGGCCCTTTTTCGAAAAGAAAAATGATAATGATGTGTGTGTTGATTGTTTGTTTTCATGTAATGTAAGTTGGAATATAAAAGTGTAGATTATATAGCTTTTTGAAAATAAAAGGATTCAAGAAGATATGATTGATCTTCATGGCTTTAAAGCCAAATAACATAAATGAGCAATACAATAAATGTTGTTGCTTGTTAAAGTAAAAAATATTCAAATAAATATAAAAAGATAAAAATGGTAGGAAAGTTGAGGAATCTTGCATTAAAGCACCTTCTCAGTTCCCACTACATGTACGTTAGTCCATAAGACTATTTCTGTGTTGAATAAAAGATTTAATATTCAACAGTTGAATCATTATAATAGAGATGTTGAATAATGAAAATCGACGAGGACTGGATTATTTCGTATTAAAAAAAATTTCAACATGTTGAATAAAAATAAAATGAAAATACATGTTAATTTTTAAGAATTTTTGATATTTCTATATATTCTTAATTATTTAAAATCAATAATTTTATTATAAATTAAATAATTTACTTTTATTTTTTAAAGGAAAATTTATCATTTTAAATTCTTTGTAAACGGAAACTAGATTTATTTTATTTGGATATAGAAAAAAATAATTATTAATTAATAAAAATAAACTGTTAAATCTATTAAACAAAATTATTGTATTGAGTTAAAGTTGAATGTGTGTTAAATGGTGAGATGAAAAAAAAAAAGCATGGAATGCTAAAAGATGATATAGAAACTGTTGATTTTTAAAACTGTAAAAGTCTAAGACAAATAAAGCTTACATTATTATAATACTTATCACCTCCAATCGATATTGCTATAATTGGGAAATTGTTAAAAGTCGAGCAAAAAAGAAAAAAAACAATTCTGCACCTGAATAATCCTCGTAGTTGAAGTCTCCATGACACTCGTAGAAAAATCGAAACAGAAACTTCTATAAGAGTATCATCAACCCAAGCACTTTCAATGAGTTGCTTAATCCTTTTTTTAGTAATAAATGTGTCTTAAGCACTTTAATTAAGAGTTTTCAATTTTTTTGTCTCCAATGCTAGTTGCTTATTGTGGGGGTTCTTAAATTTTGGTGAGAATGATGAAAGGGTTTGGTGAGAATGAGAATGAGTTAAGTTCTATCATTGAAAGAAAGAGTTAAGTTCAATAGAACTATGTTCATAAGATCACTTAAGCACACTGTTGAAAAAATGATTACCAAAAACGATGTCTCCTCTAATACACAAACCTAATAGCCAGACTATAAACTAACTTTGAAGAAAGATGAAAATACTGCAATGCAAGAAGTGAGCTTTCCTAATTAGATCTACTTGTACCTAGGACTTGCTCATTGTCTGTAACTTTGAAAATCCTGTAACTTAACACTTCCACCACGTTTGTTCTGCACACCACAAAACCAAAAACAAAACAGAGCCAAAAACAAAACAAAAAAGTAAAATCAATCATCATCTCAGTAAAGATAAACAAAGCTTCACATCACCATTTTATTTTCTGCACTTGCAGAGACATAGTAAAATAGAATTAAAACTGAGATCATAAAAGAACAAAACCTTGCAAAAGACTGGTTATTTCAAAATCAAAGTGCTTCATCAGAGAATTATACCACAAGATAACAATAATACATTAAGATGAAACATCAAAGTTCTCTCCTTTATGTTCTCACAACGTTTCAAGGTTCAAACAAGCTAAAGCTTTAACATTCTAAGAACTAAAATACAACCCATTCTTCAATACTCTTCGAGAATCATGATCAATAACAGAACTATACTTTTATCGACTCACTTTAGAGCAAAACATGTAATCACATAGCGAACATCAAGTCTCTTAAAACTATAAACCACCCTTCAAATCATGATCAATTAAAAGAACTAAACTAAAGCTATCAGCTTTGTCTTGTCACTGCATAAAAATAACCTTAAAAAATAAGAAACTCACCAGGGTGTTATCGAGGGTGCCAACAAGGATGAACTTGCCATTAGGGGAGAATCTAACAAACGAGACAGGAGGATTCTCATCATCGATCAGCGTTTTCACACAATGCCCAGTCCCTGAATCCCATACCCGACACAACCCTTCGCAGCTACTCGAAACAATCAGAGACCCGTCACGATTAAAATCCACGAGGTGGAGATCCAGAGACATCAGCGTCGATTGATCACTCAGTCATCGAGGTGGAGTTGACGGAGAGATCGGAATTGTCTAGAGAGGTTGTGTTTCGTGAGAGAGAGAGAAAGGAACACAAAATGCTGAGAGAGTGACACGTGTTGGCTAGCACTGCTGCTTCTTGCGCTTAATTAAGCGTTGATGCTTGTTTAATTACAACATTTTCTTTTTTGTTTAAATCAAAAAATACCTAAGCACCTTCATAAGCGCTTGCGTTGATGCTGCTCTAAGTTGCTTGGAAATAATCCGGAGCTACTACCTTTACCAAACGTGACGTTGACCACAGTGAAAGGTTCGAAGCCTATTAGCGACGGGGAAAAAAAGTTAAACCGTTTTTATGATCTGATATGCATAGTTATTACAATATTCAGCCCAAATCTTATTAGATACAAAAGTGTTAATTTACTTGAAAATATATCGCATGGAAAAAGTTAGAATAAAATGTATGGCAATTCTTTTAAAATAATTTTTTTAAAGTTTTTACTACAAAAATAGATCTTAAAAATTAAAATAACTAAAATAACATTTTCTATTTGAAAAATTTAAATAAATATTTTTTTTTTTAATTTGAAATTTTATTTTCAAAATCTCACTTCTCAATTATAAATATATATTTACTTATTTTTGATAAAACATTTAATTCTATTTTGATCACTTATATTTTTAAAATTTATATTTATGAAAAAAAATATTTTTAGGTCGAATTTCTCTAAAATGTATTTATTTTGTCAGAATGAAATTAGGTGGTGAAAGGCCTACTCACGCGCTCTCGGCCCTATAATTTCTTTATTATGCGAGAAAGCCCATTATCTATGGGTTTAGTTCTTATAGTTAGTTAATCAAAGGAGATTAGTTTTTACTTTATAGTATGCGCACTAATATGGATTCGTATTAACATCTTAAGTTTTAATTTCCGAGGGGGGAAAGTTGATCAAAAAGGGAGACTAATATCAACTTCAGCAACAGATAAAAAGAAACCATTATAAGTTTATAACAGTCTAAAAGATTGAATGATTGATCTCAGTGGTCCTTAGGTTCTTTTCCAGTATCTTTTTAAAAAATATTGTCCACAAAAATCAATTAAAACATATGAACTAATTATTTAATGTTGTTGCAATAAACGATGTTTTTAATTAAAAAACGGGTTTGTTGTTAAAAAATTAAAAATGGGTTTATGGTGTGTAATAACTTTCTTTATCACAAATAAAAAAGTAGCTCTCTTCAAGATTGTAGAAAAACTGAGACCACAACGTAAATTATGAATGGAAAAAGAGAAGTAATATGTAAATTTTGATATGTACATGTTATTTTATACCATAAGCTTTATAGTTTCCACACATTCAAATTAAACAAATAAATCTTTACAAACAATGCTTAATTTGTGTGGTTTGTGTTTTTAACTCTGAAATTAGATTTTCATCCAGAATTACAACCCTTCCTAAATATTATCCATCAGACTGAAAATAGAAAACTTTCTCAACCCATTACATTATCTATTTTCTTAGGAAAAAAAGTTCTTCCAAATATAACATTTACTAAACAAAAAGTAGGAAAATATCTCCATTTGTGTTATTTTTCCTTGTACGAAGAGAAACAAAGAAGAAGGACAAAGACAACAATGTGGCTACCGAGAACAGATGCGACAGCGAAAGGAACAAGAAGTAGTTCAGTTGCTCTTGCAATAGACAACGACAAAACCAGCCAAAATGCTCTCAAATGGACAATGGAAAATCTTACTTCTCGTGGTCAAACTCTTGCTCTTATTCATGTCATTCCCAAATCTCAATCTTCTTCAGGTACTAATTCATCAAAATTCTCACACACTTCCATTATGGAATGCTTTCAAGCCTTCATGTTTGGTCAATGATTCTTGTGAAAAGTTCGAGTGATTTAGTTTTTTTTTTTTTGTTTTCTGGACATTTGCAGACATTGAACAAGGAATAGCACATAAACAGCAGGTGGAAAAGCAAACAAAAGATCTCTTTGTATCTTACCACTGTTTTTGCAGCCGTAAGGAGGTATATATAACCAATAACGAGTTAACCTAATGGTTAAAATTTTAAATTATCTAATAGAAATTCTGAAGGTCAAAAGAAGTCTACGTACCAAAAACCTCCTGATCATTAAAAACAATAATATTTATAGTAATAGTTGAAATCAAGATCTTATTATTTGCATTTGTGCAGATCAATTGTCTGGACGTTGTGCTTGAAGACGTAGACAAAGTCAAAGCAATTGTTGAATACGTTACAGTTTCAGCTATTGAGAACTTAGTACTTGGTGCCCCATCAAGAAACAGCTTTATGAGGTAAATAACTTGATTAGGGTTTTAATTTATTTGTTGCGTGCAGCAGAAGATTAACCAAAACTAGGGTTTTCTTTCCAAAAATTTTGACCAACAACAGAAGATTCAAAACCGATTTACCAACGAGTGTATCAAAAGCAGCTCCAGATTTCTGCAATGTCTACGTTATTGCCAAAAGCAAAATCTCTTCCCTACGAAGCTCCTCACGTCCCGCTCCTTTCACTCCATCAATTCTCAGCGAAGTTGTTGACCATCACGAAGCTTCTGAGAACAATCACAGAACACGTGAGAGCTTTAAATCTTTTGCTTGCGACTCAAGTAACCCAACATACATTTTTTTTTAACTTGTTTATCTTTCTTCTTTTAAACAGCTACCACACCAGCATATTCTAGGGGACGAAGATCAGTTGATTCAGATGTTCCACGGTATTTATTGTCACGTTAAATTACTATAAAAGTTTCTTTACATGTGATTACTTCACCAATTTTCTAAATCATTTTTTTTTGCATTTTGCATGTGTAGATCAGTGTTTGTGAAACCACCACAAGGACATATGAAACTAATGGGAGACTTCTCAGATTCAGAGTCAGAGTACTCATTCATAAGTGCTTCACAACAGGGTTCTGACGTTTCCTATATCAGCTCAGGGAGACCGAGTGTAGATCGGTCTTCTTTTACCTATGATTTACCAGACTCAGCAAGAACCTCAAGAATGTCAACAAGCTCAGAGCAGAGCATGGGGTCTAATAGATTAGGAATCAAGTTTACGGATATGGGTTTTCTTAATAACGCTTCTACGGTTTCTGAAGACAGTGGAAGAACTTCTTGCTCCTACTCATCTCAAAGCTTGGTATATAAGTTATAATCAATTTTTTTGTTTTTGTTTTAGAAATGGTTTAACATTATGTTACATTTATTATATGACAGGGTGATGTTGAAGCTCAAATGAGGAGACTGCGTTTAGAGCTAAAACAAACCATGGATATGTATAGCTCAGCTTGCAGAGAAGCTTTAACAGCAAGGAACGAGGTATTACATTACATTTGTTGTGAAGAAACGAAAATTAAACATGGAGAAAATAATAACAGTTAAAAAGAAAACAAAATAGAGGCAAAAACCGTTTTAAGGTTTATATATATTATGTGAATGAAGAATTTACCAATTTGAATTATATTTATTTATGCAGTCTCAAACCCCGATTTTCTTTAGAAAATTTTCATTTTCTAAGAAAATAAAGAAAATAGATTTTCCTAATCCTAACTTATGTGGCCTGTTACAGGTGCAATGAAATTTAAGTAACATCTATAACCAACAACATTTTTTGTTACTTTCTCAAGTAATTGATTCATCAAAACCTAATTGAAATCCAAGTTGGTTAAAAATCCTGTTTCAGGCAACAGAGCTGCAAAGGCTAAGGTCAGAAGAGGAAAGAAGAATGGAAGAACTAAAGATGACAGAGGAGACAGCAATGTCAATGGTGGAGAAGGAGAGAGCAAAGGTCAGAACAGCCACAGAAGCTGCTGAAGCTGCACACAGGCTTGCGGAAGTAGAAGCAAAGAAAAGACTAAACGCAGAGATGAAGGTACTGAAAGAAAACGATTCTTTCCCTCGACATAGCATCGTCAGATACAGAAAATACAGTGTTCAAGAAATCGAAGAAGGAACTAATAACTTTGCAGAGTCAAGAAAAGTTGGAGAAGGTGGGTATGGGCCTGTGTTTAGAGGTCATCTTGATCACACAAGTGTTGCTGTTAAGGTTTTACGTCCTGATGCTGCTCAAGGAAGATCACAGTTTCACAAAGAGGTAAAAATGAAATTATTAACCCTCAATTAAGTTGATTTTGGCTCTATTTTGACGCATTTAAAGGTAACTTCATCGGCAAGAAAGATGAAAGTTGAATGACAAAATTTCAAATAAATCCACATTACTTGTGTTACAAGAAAACAGGTTCATAGACAACGCCTTTTGTTTTATTGTTCTGCTTCCTTAACATTTTGTTAAGTGACAAGAGTTAGGCTGTTAAATGACAAATTTTAGAAATATCTCCACCAATTTTAAAACAAATCGAGTTTACTTGTATTACAAGTTCCTAAATAAGGCTTTTCTTTTATATCTTGAGTGACAAGAAAAAAGGTTATTGAATGACAAATTATGAAACCTAATGTGTTTATTGATACACAGGTTGAAGTACTAAGTTGCATAAGGCATCCAAACATGGTCCTTCTCTTAGGAGCCTGTCCAGAATACGGTATCCTCGTCTACGAATACATGGCCAAAGGAAGCTTAGACGACCGCCTCTTCAGACGCGGAAACACACCCGCCATATCATGGCAACTGCGTTTCAGAATCGCAGCTGAGATCGCAACCGGTCTCCTCTTCCTACACCAAACCAAACCAGAACCAATCGTCCACAGAGACTTGAAACCAGGAAACGTCCTCCTAGACCACAACTACGTCAGCAAGATCAGCGACGTAGGGCTCGCGAGACTCGTCCCAGCAGTAGCAGAGAACGTGACACAGTACAGAGTCACATCAGCTGCAGGAACGTTCTGTTATATAGACCCTGAGTATCAACAAACAGGGATGTTAGGTGTGAAGTCTGATGTTTATTCACTTGGGATCATGCTTTTGCAGCTTTTGACTGCTAAACAGCCAATGGGTTTGGCTTATTATGTGGAGCAAGCGATTGAAGAAGGGAAGCTGAAAGATATGCTTGATCCTGCGGTACCGGATTGGCCATTGGAGGAAGCTATGTCTCTTGCTAAGTTGTCGTTACAATGTGCTGAGTTGAGAAGGAAAGATAGGCCTGATCTTGGTAAAGAAGTGATGCCTGTGCTTAATAGACTAAGAGAGATGGGTGAAGAGAGTATTGAGAGTGTGTACTATGCTGGACATGGACCTATGTCACATTCTAGCCAAGTCTCTTATACATCGGTAAGATTTTTTATTGACATTGCATCAGATTAGATTATTTATATCTCTATGATGTTTGATTTTCTTGTGTGTGGGGAATTGCAGGATGGTAGGAGTGCTCCTTATATATCAAATGCAAGTTCTTCTATATCGAATGCAGAATCTTCTATATCAAACCCATAGGTTTGAGCACATCAAGAAACCTGGTAATTAGAGAGATGACCCTCTTGTTTCAAATCATAAACAATTTTTTCCTTTAGAAGTTTAATTAAAATTTATTTTCTCACCAAAAATGCAAAAAAACTGTTACCACTAGTATGAAATATTCATAATTAAGATTTTGGTTTGCAGGAGGAAAATATCAGTAGAAGAAAACCAAGAGCAATGTATATATTCAGAAAGAGACTTGTTTGTTTGAGCTTGAAGAAGAGAGGTGTGTCTAGGAGAGCCAACAAAAAGTTGTGTTTCAACTAAAAAAACAATGTATATATTGATAATTTAAAAAGAGTATGTATATATAGTGTATATATAAATTTTCAGCTCATGTTTATGTTGGAGATTATATTTAATATTTAAGATCAATCTTGGCAAATTGATAAGTTCGTTCTGTTAGAGGACGTGGGAATCATATAATTAACATGGTCACATGTTCGTGCGTTAGACACGTAGCAAACAATAACGAGGACGTGGGGATCTAGTAACGTTGTCAAGTGTCATGACTTGAGACAAAACTGTGTGTTTCTTGTTGTTGTTTGGTGTTTTAAAAAGAGAAGTGTGTTTCTAAAGCGGAAAGTGAATCTTTGTTTGAGAAGTCTAACAATGGGACAAGGTAAGGAAATTAAGACGAGACCAGATCCTCAAGTTGAGATTCAAGAAAGAGGAGAAATATTCTTCTTTTATAGACCAAAGGTGAACAAAGAAGAAGCTCACAGTGTGGACGATGTTCAAAGGTTATACATAGTGATGCGTCCAGAGTCTGGTGAGAATCCCGTTGAAGAGAAACAAGACCCTCTCTCTGGTAAAGAAGGTTCCGAAGACGAGACTAGCAGCTCAAAGAAAGAAGGTGAAGGAGGACACGGCGTTGAGGTAAAAAGCAAGAACACTACTACACTACGGGATAGGATCAAATCTCTTACTCTTTTTGTTTTCTTTTTGTAGAAAGTAAACATAGAGAAACAGATCCTGTTACGATTCATAGTGATGGGTAAGAAAACTCTTCCTGATCCGAGTAAGAAGTCGCAACCTTTCTGGGGGTTCGTGGAGTTGGTGACAACAAACGTTGAAGATGTAAAAGAAGCTCTTAAAGGAGGTAACACCACTTCATGACCTATTCTTTTGTGTGGATAATGTTAAAACTTTATTTGTTTTTTTGCAGAGGAGTACCAGACAAAGACAAGAGGTCATAGACACAAGCCACCAGCAAGAGCTGTCGGAGAAGGAATATACAGAATTCTCCGACATAAACCTTCTCCGACAAGAAAACACCATACACATCTCGTCTACAAACTCGAGTTTCCATCGCGGAAAGAAGAACAACACGAGCCGCAAGAGTCGATGAACATTGAACAGGAAGGCTCCTTTCTGATCCAAGTTCGAAACCCGGAGCAAAGAAGAGGAGGGAGAGGGTCAGGGTTTGGAGGGCTGAAGAGGAAAAGAAAGGCCCAGTTTCCAGCCCATCTTCAGGCCCATTTTGGTCATACCCGGTTTGGGGCAGCCGACCCGCCTGATTTCTTGAATTATGAAGGGTGTGAGTTTTTACTGATCGCTGCGTCTGATGATATAGAGGAAGAGTTAGGGGTGGATTTGGAGCCTGAAGGTGAAGGCGATGAGTCAAAGTGCGATCTTGTGAAGACTTTTGGGGATGATGTAGATGCTACTCCTTTACTTCGTGGTACATGGGACTAATGGTGGTGGATACTCACTAATAGCTAGAGTTAAGATCATGGATGATAGTTAGTAAATGGTAGCTAATGCGTAAATGATCAGTATGTAAGACTACGACTTCAGGTGGTTAACTTTTTGTTTGTAATATGGTCCTCTTGGTGTGAAGTTATGTAAATAGTTAATGCTTAAAGCATGGACAACTTTTATGTTGTTGTTTTTTCTTGTAAAATGGTGATACGTTCTCTTGGTGGTCTAAAGTAGTGTAAATTTGTATATAGCCTGTTTACTGCAAAATGCAAATGAAGAGTAACCTTGAAAAATGTGTATAAAGTTTTGGGTTGTGAGTGTAAATATCACTTGGAAGTAACTGGTATCACTAAACTTTAGGCAAATATCACAAGTTTCAGAAAGATGTAAGGAACCAAAACCATTAAGTTAAGGAAAAAGTGGGGTGTATTTGGCAAAATCATACTGTATTAGGTTAATCAGAGGCTAAATAATAGTATTGTAACACTGCATTAGGTTAATCATTTATTAAGAAACATTATATTACAATTTCTTTTGGGCCCAAGCCCAACATAAGGTCCACAAAGAAAATATAACCCAAAGATATTTTTTTTATCTATAGATTGTACCGAAGCTTCGTCGGACGACCGCTTCTCGCATCGTAAACGGAATCGGAATCGGAACCTTGTGGAAGCTTACGAAATTTCGCTTCCAAAACGTTTCTAAAATAACCTAACTAAAAACACGTTGGAAACTTACAATTCTAATTTGGAATCACGCTTCCGTTTTGAAAAGCACAATGTTGTAAACTAATAAAAAAATAAAAAAATCAGATTTTATATAAAATCTAAAATTTTATAATATTGAAATGAAAAAAATAAAAATATGCAAATACTAAAACTGATACTATTAAATATCACACACTATGTTTTTATTAGAGATAACATATTTATTTAAGTAGATTATGTCAGTTATTTATAAAATATTAAAAATAATTAATTAGATAACATTTTTATAAAATTAATTATTTGTATTTTCACAATTACATATGAAATCATTTTAAATTATTAAAAATAAATAAATGCTTTATTTTTAATTAAAATCATATATTTTAGCTATAACTTTTATTAAATGCTTATATATATGTATATTTATTTACATTAATAATTTGATATAGGCTTCCAACCAGCTTCTGCTTCCTAATTTTTTTTTAAAAACCTGCTTCTGCATTTCCATATGGTTCAGCTTCCACGTACCCGCTTCCCTTTCCATGTAACATTCTATCCCACTCTTTTCATCTCCATCTCCACTTTGGAACTGAGCTGCAGAGAAGAAGATGAAGCAACCGGCGATGGAGGAAACCAAACCAAAACAAAACCAAACCGGAAGAAAGCAGAAAACGAAGAAATTCCCAACCGCAACAGAGCTAATCTCTCACTACCAAGAACAAGGCCTAGAACCAGCGGAAGCCTCTGTTAAAGTCATCGAAGACTTACAAAACGCACTCGTCCGTATCGTTTCGTCTTCCAAGAATAACAGTAAGGACAAGCTTTTAACCGACGCGAGAAAAATCGACGCCATTAACGGAAGGCTTGCCGTCGTGGACGCTAAGTTGGAGACGAAGCCTGGATACGTTGTGACTTTTGTATTAGGTTTAGCTTCTGGTGCAGCACTTAACGGGATTAACGCCGTCTTGCCCCACGTTACCAGAGGCATTGGTCAGGTTTGGTCCGCTGTTACGAGTGGGACAGATCCGTAATCAACCACTTAAAAATGTTGGAAAGGAATTACTCTTTTCAGTGATTTGGTTCCTTTTGAGTTTGCACTTGGATTTTGTAGTTAAGAGTGCCTAGGAAGGTTTCAAGTTTTCAGACATAGGGGCATTTGAGGCAGAAGAACATCAGTTATGTAGATATTTAAGCGTTTGATGGCTTTAGGCGATCTTGTGTGACTGCTTGCAGTTAAACTTAAGGGACAATCGTCTCTTTGGAGGTTTTGGGTTTATGTGAAGGAATCGTAGATGAATTTAGAATGGCAGCGACTGCTGGCTGCTTCACGCAGTTGTTTCAGCTTGGATATTTATCTATAAAACCTCCTTGATTAGAAGAAATATTGGCTTTGTGTGTTTGTTTATTGGTCTCTCGTAACTTTCTTTTGCATCTTTCACAAGAGCATCACCAGTTAAGGTCTCGTTAAAAGGTTCGTGTGTTACCCAAAAACCCAAAGGGAGAGTTTGGCTCTAGTGAGAGCAACAAAACTAATCCCACTTGGCTTGTTCCCATCAGGAGCAGAGAGAGTGTAGCTATTACAGTGGATAATACTAATATGTCAACCTCAATTCCTTGAAAGACATCCACAGTATACGCAGTTCCATATCTGCTGCTATTTTGAGATTCAAATGCACTTGAGAAACAAGAACTAGAATCCCTACTTCGATGCTCTTTGCCATCAACAAAAACATATGGTCCAAGAGGATGGCTCTTGTGAACACATGGCTGATTTGTTCTAACCCAAGCCCGACCCGATCTGATATGTAAGAATATTTGAACGGGTACTAAATCCCAATATTAAAATACCCAAAAATTCAAAATACCCGATTTGAATCTGAATGGCTATCCGAACGGGTATCCGAACACCCACATTTTCCCAGGACATAGTTATACAAAGCATAAAAGACAAGTAACCACGTTTTTTTGTATTTTTTTATACTAAGAGCCGGACTCCAAACTGGACTTTATATTTCTTACGTTCGTAATTTAAATTATCTATCTCTAATTAGTGTAGTTTTTTCCGTCTTGATTCAATCATTATAAATGAGTTGCATTATTAGCTTATTACGTGTCTTTCGCTTGTCAAGGTTTCGCATAATGCATACTAATGAATGAAATCACATGGTTCTGGAAAAAAAAATGCTCATAAATACTTACATATATAAATGCTGATTGAAATAGGTGATGTAATACTCATAAGTCTTAGATAAAAACAAAACAATTGGAGATCGGAAGGGCTTGATTTACGGGTAAATAGATTGACTAACCAGTCGATTCGATCATTACTTTTCGAAAATTTACTTTGCTTGAAAGAAAAACTTCCAATAATTAACAAAATCGGCAAAACAAACTAAGCAAAATCATTTAAATGTACGTACCAAAAGAAAACGAAACATTAACCAATCCGATCACCAAACTGATATACTAGCATGTGCATATTAAACACACACGTAAATGAATAAAAGAAAAACTCAACAAATATATGAAAAATACTGCTGAACAAACTCTATACAGTTTGTAAATTATGTATATTTAATGAAAAATACTTTTTTTGTGTGACATATTGATCACTTATGGGCTCAAGAACGTTGCTGCAAAATTGGTAATACTGTATGTAGATTCATCTAAGGAAAAGAAAGATCAACTAACTTTACCATGATTAGGTGGAAAGCAGAATTACATCGATACCAAATGGTTAAATCCTTTTAGTAATGATAAATTACAAATTTTAAAAATGTCGACATTAATTTCAAATTTAAATATTTACAATTTCTATTTATTTTTATTTTTTCCTCTTAGAAAAAAAAAACAGAGTGTCCCTTCTTCTTCCTTAAGCTCAGTTTGGTGGACAATTAAAAAAAAAAAAAAATCTAACCCCTTTTAGAGAGAGAAAGAAATCAGGAGAGAGAGAGAGAAAGGAGACTGAGACTCATCAGCTGTTACAGCTCAGAGAAAGAGAGAAATCGAGATCCAACACAACGGAAGAGAAGAGACCTCACCGGATCTCACAGTATCCGCTTCCGTTTCTTCTTCTACTGTCACTCCCAATATATCAACTAACTTTTTCTCGGCGTTGACTACATTTTCCTGGAAACTCACTCTCTCTCAGGTACGAATCTATCAATTTTCCTCGATTCGATTTCTCTTCAGGGCTATTTTAGGGATTTTGTTGACAAAAAATGGCGATCTAGATTTCCTGATTTCGAAATAGGTTTGTAGAGACACTTAGGGATCTGAGCCTATAGTGAGTGTGGTCCACTTTCTTCCCTCTGATCTTCTTATACAAAAGGCTCTTCTGATTTTTCTCATTAACTCTCTTTCTGGCGCCTAGCTTTGTCGCCAGAAACAGCTTTTTTTTTTTTTCCTTTTTTTGTATTTTTCATTGTTGTTATTCCCCATTGTTTTATTATAATGTTTTTATGTGTATACATGTGAAGCATTTCATCATCTCTCATTTGTTTATATATTGTTGTTGTTTTTGTAGGGATTTTGGAGTTAACTAACTCTGGTTGTTTTCTGTAAGTGACGGAAAATGGGTTCGAGATACCCATCTCACCAGCTAGGCAATGGGTTGTTTGTGTCTGGTCGACCTGAGCAACCTAAAGAACGGCCTCCAACGATGAGCTCAACAGCTATGCCTTACACAGGAGGCGACATCAAGAAATCAGGAGAGTTGGGGAAGATGTTTATTCCAACGGATGGGGTTAATAAGTCAAGGAAGTCTGGTCCTATACCCGGTGCTCCTTCCAGGTCGGGGTCATTCGCTGGAACGAATGCTCAGTCAGGTCCTGGTGCTGCTAACGCTGGTAGTGGTGGTGGTGGTCGTATGTCTGGGTCTTTAGGTTCTGCTGGTGGGTCTGTTTCCATGAAGAAAACGAATTCTGGACCTTTGTCTAAGCACGGGGAGCCGTTGAAGAAGTCTTCTGGTCCGCAGTCTGGTGGTGTGACACGGCAACATTCTGGTCCTATTCCTGTTCTTCCAGCTACAGGGCTTATAACATCTGGGCCTTTGAATTCATCTGGCGCGCCTAGGAAGGTTTCTGGTCCTCTGGATTCTTCTGGTTCGTTGAAGACGCATGTGGCTTCTGTTGTTCATAACCAGGCGGTGACTACTCTTGGTCCGCAAGATGAGTTTTCGAGCTTGAAGAGCTTCCCGAAGTCTGTGTTGTGGCTGGTTGTTCTTATATTTATAATGGGGTTCCTTGCCGGAGGTTTCATTCTTGGTGCAGTTCATAATCCGATGCTCCTCATCGTTGTTACGATCTTTTTTACGGTTGTTGCTGCGCTTTTTATTTGGAATATGTGTTGGGGGAGACGTGGTGTCACAGATTTCGTTGCTCGTTATCCTGATGCTGACCTTAGAACTGCTAAAAATGGTCAATACGTGAAGGTCACTGGGGTAAGTAGGCAATTGATCCCTCAATTGATTAATTTGCGTGTTTTTCTTCTGCTGCTTGCTTTGTTTTTGCTCGGGTATCTACTAAAATGGTTTAAGACTGAGTACTATTTAGTTGAAGAATGGCATTAGCTATTCAATGCATCTTAGTTATGGTTTGATATGTTTATGATCTTGATTCATTTTTTTATTATTTGAAGGTGGTTACTTGTGGTAATGTGCCGCTTGAGTCATCCTTTCAAAGAGTTCCTAGATGTGTGTACACATCCACATGTCTATATGAGTATCGTGGATGGGGTTCGAAACCAGCCAATTCTTCACATCGTTGCTTCACATGGGGACTGAGATCAGCAGAGGTTAGTGATTCCCCAATGTTATTCATTTTCGCAGAAGACAATGTTATACTGTCTCCCTCAACCCCATCAAAAGCACTTGTATTATAAAGTTGTATCATTATGTGGCAGAGACATGTGGTGGACTTTTACATATCAGATTTCCAATCTGGACTCAGAGCCTTAGTCAAAACCGGAAATGGTGCAAAGGTAACACCTCTTGTGGATGATTCTGTTGTCATCGATTTTAAGCACGGAAGTGAGAAAGAGTCTCCAGATTTTGTTCGGTGGTTAAGGAAGAAGAATCTATCAAGTGATGATCGAATAATGCGACTCAAAGAAGGGTAACAAACAAACTTTTTTGTATAAACAAACGAATCCTTAAGTTTTAATAGAAGCTTTCGGTCCTGAATCTCTTTTGTTGGGTTTCAATATCAGGTATATAAAAGAAGGAAGCACAGTGAGTGTGATTGGAGTGGTGCAGAGAAACGACAATGTGTTAATGATAGTGCCATCATCTGAGCCAATTACAGCTGGTTGGCAATGGAGGAGATGCACATTCCCAACAAGCCTTGAAGGAATCGTATTGAGATGTGAAGACTCATCAAACGTTGATGCTATACCGGTTTAAGTCCATCATCATCATCATCAACAACAGCATCTGAGTTTTGGCTTCATTAAATATTATTTCATGAAGCTTGAAAAATGTGGTTCTTCCTGGTGCATCTGTTTGGTGGTGGGTGGTTGGTTTGGTGGTAGTATGCGTTTCTTTCTTTCATTATTTTCTTTAAATTCAATTTTTTTTTTGTTTCCCGAGTTATTGTGGTTAGGATGATGGTGATGTGATGGGGATAGTGGTGGTGGGTGTGGTTTCATATTCCTAAGATGAGCTAATTTGTATTCTTTTTCTTCTTCTTTGCATTCTGCTTTGTATATTACTTTCAGTAAATTCGTTTTCATTAGGACTTGTGTACCAAAAGTGTTATGTTAGGTTCAAAATCTTTCATTTTGTGACAAACAAAGCTCATTTGGTGTACTTGTGTAACTCAATTGTTTTATATTGATGTTATATGTTATGCTATTTCGTATCGTTCAGCAAATAAATTATTGTGATCATTTTGCTGTTTTACATTCTGTATATATTTTATTTTCTATAATCCAAAGTTGCTAGGGGAAAACAAAAGTGTTTTGCAGACGACAAAAACCTCAACTAACAAGAATCTTCAAATGTCATTGAAAAAGAGTCTCTTTCCCCAAACTAATGGGATAACTTGAAACATCAGCAAATGCCACGCACTGATGTAATCAACACAACAATGTGTTGTTCAAGTGTTTATTTCTCAACGCATGAAAGAGACTAACCATCGCATCTCTGCTCCATTTTCCATTAGCCAAATAGAATATCTTCTTTCAGTTTTCTTCAGAGAATACTTCGCGCCTAACTAGTCTTGCCTGCACCAAAAGCTTATAGAGAGCGTTCATGACATCAGTGTCTACTTTAGTTCGGTTCATTGTGACTCAAGGAGATAAGCTTACTGAGACGTAGATGATTAGAGAGTTGACTACTATTGTTTGTTATCTCGTAAAGACACAAGAACTTTTTCGTGTAACTCACCGAAGGTAGTAATAGCAGACAGCTTCTGCTTCATCTAAACCATAAAAATAACCACAAAGAGAGATCTTGCCTTGAGAATACTCTCAGCTTGTAGAGGAGTAACCAAAAAACCTGTATGTGGATTCTTATAGAAATGGCCTCCATGAGTCCAGTCACGGCCTTTCTTCAGTGCATACAAGACTAACCAGCCTTCATCACGTGCCCAGTGAACAAATACCGCCAAAGCAATACTCTTTCCACATTTAACAGGACCATCCAATATAATCTGCCTCTTAGGCTTGACACCTTTTCAGACAAAGTGACTAGCAAGACTTAACCATCTCCTTAAGCTGCTTATAAGGAAAACAGATAGCCTGACGAAGTATCAAACTTGTTATTAGCATTTGGCCCATTGAATTATTGGGCCGTAAAGTTAACATATAAGAGATGGAAAGTTAAGCCCATTACAGAAACGGATGACTAATCTACTTAAGTTTCCTTTAATCAAGTGGTTTAAATCAATAATTCATTAAAACTTTTATATTAGAAGCTTTTGGCTTTGAGTCCAAATAATGTCATAATAATTGGAAGAAAATTTTATAGAAGAATCTTCAAAGAAAAAACTCCCAAGTGTGACTTTTTCATTAAAAAAATAGTGTAGTAGATAACACCATTAAATATCAATTATAAGACAGATAGTTATTGGTTGTTTCATCGTAATTCTCCGACTCTATAATATAATAATAAATTAATATTAAAAATTAACAAATAACTGAGTTTAAGAATTAAATACTCGCGTAAAGACAATCTCACAGATTAGACCAATAGCATGCCACATCCGATACACTCGGACTAGTTTGTCGCATTTGAAATTAAAAATGGAAAAAAATATAATTTACTAAAGTGGAGAAAAGGAAAGCAGGAGTAGAGGTGGGTGACGATCTAACGTTGAAGATAATAAGAAGCAAAGAAGCGGACATTGTTTTTTTTCCGGTTTTGTCTCATCTTTTTTTATTATCCTCTCATGGCGGATAACACAAGACCTGTCCAAATCCAAAGGCTTGTGTTCACTTCACTTCTCTAACGTTTCCTCATTTCTTTCTTCTTTTGCTTTGTGTTCAAGTCAGCTATGGTGGCTATGGCCTCTGCTTCTGGTTCTGCTCTTCGCTTCACTGATGCTTCTAGCTCTCGCGTTATCAGACGCGATGTTGGAGCTTTCTGTCTTGCTCCTAGGACAGTAACGTTCGGATTCGTCGATAAATCTATTCACAGTTTGAACCGATTAAGGTTTCTAAAGATAGATTGTTTTATTGAGCTAATCTTTTTTCTGATTCAACCAACTGATTCAATTATTTTTCTGTGTCAGGTTATCTGGTTTGAAGTCTAGAGCATCAAATGCTACTGCTGTCGAGGTAATGAACTGATCGGATTACTTATACTGGGAATACTAAAGTAGATTTTAAGTTTTGTTTTGTTTCTTGATAAGAATGCAAATGCTGCTGATTCTGATAAAGTTCCAACACCAGTGGTCATAATCGACCAAGATTCTGACCCTGATGCGACCGTTGTTGAAGTTACATTCGGAGACCGTCTTGGAGCTTTACTTGACACTGTAATGAATAAGTCTACTTCTTTTACACTCACTTGCTGCTTCTTATCTGATGAAACTTTTTTCTTCAGATGAATGCGCTCAAGAACTTGGGTTTGAATGTCGTCAAGGCTAATGTCTTCCTTGATTCTTCTGGCAAGCACAACAAATTCGCCATTACTAAAGCGTATGTCTCTTTTTTAGATTAGTTTATGTTAACTTTGAGAGTCAAGTCAGAGAGGGAGTTGAGTTTATATTGAATATGTATTGTTATGAAACAGGGATAGTGGAAGAAAAGTAGAAGATCCTGAGTTGCTCGAAGCCATCCGTCTCACTGTCATCAACAATATGCTTGAGTTTCATCCTGTATAACCACTTGTTTCCTAACTTCCTCACTTGCTCAAACTTTTTTTTATCTTAGCTCAGCTTACACATTTAGCTTTGTTGTTTATTTTGTAATAGGAATCAAGTTCTCAATTGGCAATGGGAGCAGCTTTTGGTGTTCTTCCACCTACTGAACAGGTCTAAAACCCTTTCAGGCTTTATAATATTTAAAGAGAAAACAAAGACTAGCTGAGTCATCTTTGTTGAATAAGATAATAAGCACTTAACTTCAAAGTTAGCGTCAAGATCATTTTTCTTCTTTGTTAATTGTTTTTGATTGGGATATTTGACAGGTTGATGTGGACATTGCAACACACATAAAGATTGAAGATGATGGACAAGACCGCAGGTAATGAAAAATCATACCTTATCTCAACTATAAAGTACTTTGTGATGATCATTGATCCATAACTATTATTACTGTTGAGAATGCAGTTTACTATATATAGAAACAGCGGATAGGCCTGGCTTATTAGTTGAGCTGGTGAAGATCATTTCAGATATCAGCGTTGCTGTCGAATCTGGAGAATTTGACACCGAGGTACACTTTGTAATCAAATTCTTCTAAAGATATAATCACTCTTCTCATGTTGCTTCTTGTTCAAAATAGGGTTTGTTGGCTAAGGTAAAGTTCCATGTAAGCTACAGAAACAAAGCCCTTATCAAGCCTCTCCAGCAGGTATAACTTTCAGACATCAGAGTATATTCTTTGTTACCTCTTAATTTCACCGTTTATTGAATTAAATCACATTTTGTTTTTGTAGGTTCTTGCTAATAGTCTGAGGTATTTCTTGAGGCGTCCATCAACTAACGAGTCAAGTTTCTGAAATGCTATTTACCACACAAAAAAATGAAGTCACATTCCATATGACTGCTTTTTACCACTTTTGTTTTACACTTCACAAAAATAAGTTGTTTCTTTTTAGTGGTCTTCCCATACATCTGTAGTAGTAACATTCTATATTTCAGTCATTTATCAAATTTACTTTTATTTACGACCTGTTAAATCTTATCTCTAACAAAGCTCAAGCACAAGCACATTTGAAGAACATTAGTGTGCAAATATGGATAAATGAGTCTTAAATTCTTCTAGTTATACAAGATTCAGAGAGTACACATCTTTTTCCCTTGTTTTAAGAAAACAAAAAAGATTTAGATAAAACCTTTGAGTTTCACCATATATAATGTTATTTAAATGACAACGACCGTTCTCCTTTTGCACTCCATCATCAAGCGCCACTTGCATATAGACGAGTCCACTCCTTAGCTGCATGTTTTGTTCACACTGATATGAGATTAACCATATAAGAGATAAGGAACCAAGATTTTAACAAGCTTTATCACCTGTCTCCACAGCTTCTGCTTCATTACTCTTCCAATGCTTTGCTATGTTCTCAGACAGTGGATCATCAGGGTTCGGTGCGCTTAGAAGAGCTTGAATACTTTTTTTTAACATAGACATCGGAGAATAAGAAAGTGTCAATGATTAATATTAGAAGCTGTTTGTTCTTGGTTTAGTAGAGAGAGAGAGTCTTTATACCTCAAGAGCACAGTTCTTATTTGTAGGGCAGGACTCCACTTGTCTTTCAGTATGTCAAGGCAGATCCTTCCAAGCTATATAAATAAATAAAAAGAATCATAAGGGATATATAAGCATGCGTTAGTATATATATTTTGGTGGCAAGAGAGAGGAAAGAAAATAGTTTGGATTTTACAACGAACCTTGTCAATGTTAGGATGGTATATCTTGGTGAGAAACCTAACCTGTGTTAGAAAAGATATCATCAAAAAGACCCGATATCAAAACAGAAACATGAGTACCTTGCCTAATCTTACAAGTGAAAATGAATTTGAAGCAGTCATAACAAACCACAGTAACCAATGATAATCACCATATACATTCATTTAATATTGTTGGGTTACACTAACTTTACTAAAGATACCAACAGTATGTAAATGAATGGAGTCAGAAGATCAGAAACATGAAATGAAAAAAGAGTAAAAACTTGTAAAAGCAACTTACTTTGGGAGCTGCCATAGGATATTCTTCAGGCAAAAAGAGCTCCAACTTGAAAACTCCTCCTAGAAATTGAAAACGAAATAAGATGATTGGTAAAAAATATCAATAATACTATACTTGATTCTGAAAGAGAAAAAAAGGAAATCAAAATCGACTTAGCATTGCACATTTTAGAACACATAAGAACAAACAAAACATGTAACTGATGAAATCAAAAAGCAGGTCATAGACTCGTTACCCATACCACCACAATCCAAAAAAACCATCAGACTCTAAATGAACATATGTGGAGTGTAAGTAGAAACAATGATAGGTAAATGAATTAAGAAATCGATTATACACAACACTCGCAGATGTGAACGAGTAACACTAATAGTTGCAGTATTTAAGGAAACAAGTTAGTACCTTCATAAGGAGACTGGGTAGGACCAAGAATCATAACATTGAAATATCGCATATTCTCCTCTGACGGTGACGCACTTATCCCCGGAGCTGCAAAGACGCAACCTTTTATACTCAAAAACTGATTTTTTTCGAACCCAAATCAACAATTTTGAGCTATCAAAAATCAGGAAAAAAGGATATTAGAGAATGAAAGGATGAGGTTTACCAGGTTCACTAAGTAGACGTTGAGTTTCCTACCAAACGCAAAAAGAGAAAGTCATAAGTTTGCAGAAAACTAGCAACCACCTGCTTTGTTCAGATTTCAGATTTAAAAAAAAGGAGCAGAGAGAAATTGAGATCGGCGAAACGCACCTTGATGATTCTTCGCGGTAGATTGCTATTCGCCATTATAACGGATTTTGATTCGATTCGATCGATCTCTCAGAGAATTTAGGGTTTTTGAGAGAGAGAGAGAGGACGAAGCTAAAGCTCTCAAGACGCACGCACGGTGATTATTATCGAGAACGCTTCGTTCGTCTCTCGTCTCGTGCGTTCCCCTTCTCCTTTTATTTCTGTTTCCTTTTTCGGAAAATGATAATTTGGTAGTTATAATTCATTTTAACTTTGGTATTTTTAAAAGTCAACTTCCATATTCAAATTTATGTCTCATAAAACCATTGATTTAATAGTTTAATACTACCTCCGTGTTTTTAAATATAATTTTTAATATTTTCACACATTAAAAAAACACACTAAATCAGTATTATAAATACATTACTTTTGTAATTATCAGTTTTTAATAAATGTTAACCAATAATATTTTGTTGGTGCAAAACCAATAATAATTTATTAAATTCAATTAATTTTAAAAAAAGTTTAGAATTTCTGCATAGAAAATAACCAAATGATAAAACATTATATTTATGAAAAAAAAAATTATGGTAAGTGATAATCTTCTTTAGAAAAACAATTTATTTCGTGTTAAATTATTTTAGGTTATCTCCAAGTGTCTTTTTTTTTTCGTTTTGCCTTTTGCGTTGGTCTAACGCCAATTTGTTCTCATGTCATCATCCTCTCATTTTTTCTCAATTGTCCAACTCGGAATCGCAAAATGAAAAGAAGGATAAGATAAAAGACATTGCAACACTAGTGTCAATATCAAACAACATGATCTTCCTACCCTTTGGAGATTTACTACAAAGTAAACGTGAAAGTTAAAAATGACTACACTGATCAGTAAGTATATCATTCGACTCAAAACTGGCCAATGAACCGAGTTATATCTATCGGTTTTTCAAAATTTTGATATCATTTTGGGACTCTTCTAAGTATTACGTATTTGCCGAACACATTCTTCTCCTGCCACTTGTAAGGGATGAAGAACGATCTATACTTCGCTGGCGATAGCTCTCTGTCCAGGTAAGGTAACACGGCTATAGCCTGAACAAAAGAATCCACAATTTTGTAGTAAAGAAAGTGAAATTTTAATATACATTTATGGTTTGATTTTTTATACCTCCCATGTCGATAAGTCGCTGCCTCGATACGCATAAGGTCTGCTAAGCTGCAGCTCAATGAGGAATGTGCAACTTTCGATATTCTTCAACTGAAAACCAATAAAAAGGTGGAGAAAATCAAGCAGAGCTCGAGTTTTGTAGTGTTTCATAGGAGAGAAAGGGTGTGAGAGTTTTACAAATTGTTCATCAGATGCTTGGTTCTTGTTGTTGAAGTATGGTGGTGATGCTGCAGTGCCTCCAAGTGTGCTGTTAAATGGGAATGGAAGAAGACCTCGGAATCCATCATCGATCCATCTTACTTCGCTTATGTAGTCAGGCACGAAAAACGATGATGGGTATCGATGCCATTCGCTTCCCACACACAGAACGGAACCTGACACACAACCAACAAAAGAGAACAGTATTCACAAAACTTGAGACTTGAATTTCACTTTTGTTTGCATTGTAGTGATTGAAGAGTTCTGTATATACCTGGTCCAGCATCATCATGGTGCTCCAGCAGCTTGTAGACCTCTAAGGGAGCGGAATAGCCATTAATCAGAGAAAATGTGCGAGCATGTGAAGCACATAAGATAAGACCAAGGATCACAGGTCTGATGTATTTGGTTATCTGCATATGATAATTTAGAAAGTGAGAATCGTCCAAACTAGTTCTTTTCAATTTGTGAGAAAGAATATACCCGAGACTGATATATTGTAAGCAAGGACTTACTGTCACCAGAAGACTTTCGCGTGTGCTATACTTATCCCGGAACAGCTCAGGGATGTTTTCAATAACAACAGAAGCAGAAACACATATAAGAGGGTATATTGGATAGAGGAACCTGCAGTAGCAAATGATTGACAAATCATATAATCAGCTTCCTTTAGATCGGGAAAGCCATCTTATAAATGGCCTAAGACTACAAGACGAAAGATATAAAAGATCACCTTTCTTCTTTGTGGGGCTGTAGTGACATAAACGCCAGCCATATATACATTGGCGAAACCACAACAAACAAGCAACGGTCATACTTTCTTCTGATAAGAGGAAATAGTGCGATGAACAGAATAGCCAAAACAAAACCCAAGTTGAAGTTGTTAAAACCATTTTTTATATAAAACAACGGTCCTTCAGTCCCATAGAGATGGCTTTCTCCACCCCCTAAGACATTGTATATCAATAGATTCAAAACTGAAGATGTCCATCTCTTGTAATAATAGTGATCCACTACTACTGAGAGTCCCTGGAAAAGAGGAAAACGTAGTTAAGATATACAGATGCAAATGAAACTCAGTAACATGCAATAACTCACATAGACTCCACACATAAAAAGCATTTAGGATTGGTGTTTTGACTTACAAGGAGAAAAATAGAGGTGACAGCGCCAGAGATAAATGATTGCTTGAATCTTTTAACCAAAGCGTAAATAACGATAGGTAAAAAGGCCAGGATAGAAAATGGCCAGCCAAGAATCACACCAACGACCGAAACTGCAACAGCCATGGCATACTTGTCGAAAAGTAATAAACCAGATGAGAGACTCATTGCATACATAGAGAACGAACTCGGGAGGAAACCTAGCCAATTTCAAGGAAACATGAATTAATATATACTACCACAAAGGCTAAATAAATAAACAGAACACTCACTGGTGCTAGCAAAGAAGCATCCACTGGTTAAGCAGAGCATTGCAACTGCGTAAGTAGCAATACGTTTCCCATACTTTCTGGAGAGTGCAACAACCAGGACAGTGTCCGAAACTGCAGAAACCAGTCCCAGAAAGAGTCTCACCGCATAGAAAACTCTAACCTATCCACATGATAAACACAAGCAGATAAGAAATCTGCAGAGTTACATACCAATCAGAACATACATCAAGAAATCAGTAATACTTACCTTGTCATCACCAAACCACCAAGAAGCAGGCCGCCCAGCCAATTCATGGAAAAGAATATACAAGTAGGAACGAAGAGCAAAGTTCGAACTGCATAACAACAAAAAAACTAATCTTATGAACATGACTTCACATAAAACTCAAGTCACGATTCATCTCTATACATGACAAGGCACACTGGTTCACATCCACCAAGTAGAGTCAAAACTAAATTATCCAAAGCCGAACCATCAGATACTAAACAAACAAGGAGAACAAAGCCACACGTGTCAAGTGTACAGAAAGAACACCGTAATAAAAATTAAAGCTCACAACTTTCACATTTCTGATTCCAAATTCAAACAAAAGGTTGAGACTTTATTCCCACAGCTTTCACTAAAACTCCATCTAAACACACTTTATACTCCTTTAAACTAACATCGTGTCTGTAACTCATTACACCCATCAGTAACACACTATCAAACAAATCTCACAACTTTCACATTTCTGATTTAAAATTCAAACAAAAGGTTGAGACTTTATTCCCACAGCTTTCACTAAAACTCCATCTAAACACACTTATACTCCTTTAAACTAACATCGTGTCTTTAACTCATTACACCCATCAATAACACACAATCGAACAAAGCTTACAACTTCCACATTTCTGATTTCAAATTCAAACAAAAGGTTGAGACTTTATTCCCACAGCTTTCACTAAACCTCCATCTAATCTAAACACACTTAATACTCCTTTGAGCTAACATCGTGTACACCCATCAGTAATACACTATATGGAACAAAGCTCACAACTTTCACATTTCTGATTCCAAATTCAATCAAAAGGTTCAGACTTTATTCCCAAATATTGAGTCTGTTACTCACTACACTCATCAGTAACTCACATTATACAATAAGTACACGTAAGCAAGACGAAAACCTGTATTCCCAGGTTTGAAACCCAGACTTGTACAAAAGATAATGGAGAGGCTCCCAGTAGTTAAACACTTCGTCGCAGTCATGAATAATGTTTGAAGTCGCGCTCATGTAACGAAGGTAACATAAAGCTATAAAAGGCAAGAACCACCCGAGACCGCGATCCTCTGCATCCTCACCGTTAGATCGTCCGGGTTTGTCAGTTTTAGAGTATGGTTTCGTTGAAGATGAGGAAGAATCGGATAGAAGTGGGCGTCTCTGGCGAGTCGTCGTCAGATCCATCGAGCTTACCAGTGCGAGGAAAATGGTCGCGGCGAGTGTAGATTTTGCAGAGCTTGTTTTCTCGGTGAAGCAATGGAAAGTCTCTGCTTGGTTTAGAGGGTTATGATGTGGAAGCTTAGAGTAAAGGTCTGACTGTTCTTCCGCAAATGCAGCTTTTGCGATTGTTAACGGTAGTTGGCGTTTTGTAATAATCCTAGGAAACACTATAAACCGCTTCAAATCACTCTGAATCTCTAAAATTCAAAAGCTGGTTCCAGTTAGCGTTTGCAATTGCGGTCGATTATGAGAAGATAAAAATATATTTTTCTTCCGAAAAACTATATAAATATAAATATAAAAAATAAAATATTCAATTAAAATTTTAAATTCAAATAATTTAAATACTGAAATATTTATATTATAAAATTTCCAAAAAAAATATTTTCTTTAATTTTTTAAAAAATTAATAGTGCAGTTTTTTTAATAAAATTTTTATATTTATCATGAAAATATGATTTTAATATTTTGATAATTATATAAAATATAAATATTATTAATTTATTACTTAACCACCGTTGTATTTGATGACAAACCAATCATAAGTATTCCGCAAATGCAATAATTTTTACCATTGAGCCAATCGTATAAATCGCTTACTAACGCTTAAAATCGCAATTTCTTGTATCTGCAAACACCCGCAACCGCAATCACTGCGTTATAACCAGTCAAATCCTAAATGATGGAGGCCTAGGAAATTAGAGTCTAACAAAAAAAAATACTTTTTCTCTTCTTTTTCTAAATTATTACGATCTGAAAATTATTAAATACCTTTTCTTTTCGTTTTCTTTTTAATTTAATTGTTACAATTTGTAAATTATTGAAGCATGCATTTTATTTGATTATAAATTTTTAAAAATATTACAAGACTGTTTTACAACCAACAATGGAGTTGATTTGTTGATATTGTAGTTTTTTTTTTTGCTTTGATTAGTAAGTCGTAAATTATTTTATTTAATTTTTTTTTGTAGATTTAATTTTTAAAATTAAATAAAAATTGTAAGAAATTTATTTTGAGAGGTAAAATATTTATTTTCATAACTTTAATTTTCAAATCTAAAGTTTAATTGCTTGAGAAATTTCTTTGAAAAGAAAAAAAAATTGTAAATTATCTACAACACTTATCAATGAATTCTATTATTTTCTATTTTATAAAAATTCACAATTTTACACTGAAGTTAAGATGTCTTAGAGCACCCGCAACCATAGATCCTTAGGGGGAATATTTAGGGAAATATTAATTTTATAATGAATGAGTCCCATAAACAGTTAAAATGTCTTAGAATTTTATAAAATTCACAATTTTACACAATTTTACACTGAAGTTAAGAGCATCCGCAATGGCGGATCCTTGGGAGGAATCCTTAGGAAAAAAAATAGGGGGTATTTCGGATTATAGAAGGATATTTCAGATTTTTCTTTAAAAACAAATTGACCACTCACGAACCGCCACGTAGGCAGTAGAGCCCATGAATAGTATAAGGATCAATCCTTACATAAGGATTTTTAGGATAAAATCTTTAACTGTTCATAGGACCCATTGATTATAAAATTAATATTTTCCTAAGGATTCCCTATAAGGATCCGCCATTGCGGATGGTCTAAGATGTCTTAGAGCACCCGCAACCATATATCCTTAGGGGAAATACTTAGGAAAATATTAATTTTATAATCAATGGGTCCCATGAACAGTTTAGGATTTTAAAGATAAAATCCTTATGTAAGGATTGAACTTTACACTATTCGCGGGCTCCACTGCCCACGTGGCGGTCCGCGATTGGTCAGTTTTTTTATTTTTAAAAGAAATAATCTGAAATATCCTTATATAATCTAAAATGCTTATTTTTTTTTTTCCTAAGGATTCCCTCTAAGGATCTATGGTTGCGGGTGCTCTTACGGAAGATCTAAATTTGACGAATCAGTTTTACTATTTAATTTTTTATTTATTTAATCATTTGTATAATTAATGATAAATCGCATTTTTGGAGTAAAACTTTTAAAAATATAAATAAACTGTAAATCAAACCATAGAATCAAGGGTTTTCAATCTTAATGGTCTACAAAATAAATTTAGAAGAAAAAGAACTCAAATTTTCCAAACTTGATGAAGAGGAAATACTAAAATGGTAACCTAGTCAACAAGGCCAAAATGAGCCATTAAGAGCCAAACAAAAGCAAAGAGCTCACCACCTTTACCAAGCAACTCAAGACGAGCCGTAGCATCACAATGCAACGAAGCAAAACAAATCAACTCAACCCACACTTTACTCAATATCTTCCATTTATTACGACCTCCTTGCATCTCCTTCAGCTCTCTCACAATCGCACTAGCTCCCTCCAAGACACTCTCGTTTCCCAACTCTCCATTAACACCACCATTAGCTAATGACACAATCTTCTCACCAACTAATTTCACATCTTTCAACTTCTTGAAACTCTCATCCAACAACTCCTCTGCCTCGACCATTGCGTCTTTAAACCTTAGCATCCCAAGTCCAGCCACTTCAGACATCAACTGAGGTTGCAAGATCATTAGATACATCATGTAGTCTGATAAAGTTTTGCTGAATTCACGGTGCTGTTGTTGATCATCTGGTTCTTCTTCTCCTTCTTGGTAACATATCTCCGTTGCTATGTGCCACAAGAGGAGAGTCTCATCGTAATCAACGTTTTCCACGTAATGAATCAGTCTCCTTGAGCAACGATTCTCACGCAAAGTCCATTCTCCTCTAGCTGAACATATTCTCCTTGTGTTCTCCTCTGTATCTGCAAACTTCGATTTGTGTCTCACCTGATCAAACACGAAACTCCATAGAGATTTTTTCAATGGTTCGCTTGACACATAGGTTTCAACTCTTATGTCATCTATAAACTCCTTGACATCAAGACGATCGATTACGTAGGCAACAAGAAACCTCAAAACCTGGACAAAAGCCTTGATGGGGTAAAGAATGTAATGAGCCACTTTGTTTGATGCCATGACATGTACGATGTAGCCTTGAAAACCATGGATCCATTTGAGGAAGCTTCCACATGAGAATAGTTTCATCATGTAGTGTGAATCTGTTTTCAAGAAGAAGTTGAAGAAATTAAAAGCATAGATCTTTCCAGCCCATCTCCGAACCAGAACCGGTCCTGCAATCACCTCATGACCGTGATCGTTTATCTTCTCCCATCGCAGGCTCTTGAAACCAAGGATCCAATTAATCACACTGCTTACTCTTGATGGTTTTGTATTAGGGTTTTCCTGTGTCTTGCTTAGCACGGCAAGTTTCCAGTCAGAGAACAAGAACACAAAGGCAGATATGAGATCCAAAACTATACCGGCTAAGAACATTACGTAGGTGATGACGACATCAGTACGCTGAAACTCTTGACTCTTCTTGTCTCTATAATGAAATTTACAGAAAGACCAAACAAGACATCCAGAAGCAATGACTCTAAATAGAAACCCTTTCTTAGTATGAAGAACAGGGGATTTGGTATAGAGAGCATCATAGATAAAACAAAGCTCAGCTTCAAGAACCATCAAAGCTTCTTGGGGATTCAACACATTGAACAACGCTTGACTTGCCCTAAGATCTTTGAAGCTGAAGACGAAGTTAGATATGAGACTTGTGAAGTGACTATACAATGTGAAAGCATGTTGAACAATCTCTAGATCGGTTAAGTCTCTGTCCGGTTTAACGATCTCCATAGGACGTTTCTCTGTACGGAAAATCCAAGCCAAGAGACCAAAGACATCGGTAGGAGTCCGTTCTTCTAACCCTTCTTCGACATCGCTTCTCTTTAACCCTTTTGTCTGAATCCCAGAGTGTCTGAACTTGCCTGAGCTAGCCACGCTCAAGGCCATTGTCCTCTCTAGGTACTTTATGATACCGGTGGTGAAGAGTAAGAGAATACACGGCCATAGAGGGTTAGGGAGAGAGAGAAAGACCACGAAGACGCAGACAATGGCTTGGAAGATGAGACCGAGCAAGTGTCGAGTCCAGAGAGCGTTGTCTTCTAAGGAGAAAGCGGTGATTGTGTCTGGTCCGCCTAGGTGTAAGAGAAGGAAAGGTGACCATAGAGCCATGAGTTTTTGGTCTTGACGGGGTTCTTGGTTTGGTTTTGGTTCGGTCCATTGGTTCTTGGAGATTAAACCGGCAGCGAAGTTAGCGGACCAGTCGGCAAGAAGGTAGCATGACCATAAGAGTATGGTTAGAGACTTCGATGATGCTCGTTTCCTTGTTGGTGCAAAGAAGATGAGTGTTGTCTGAAGTGAAAGACTTAAGATTAGCATTCCTCTTATGTTCCATCTCTCCCACAAGTTGTTAATTTCTTCAGGCAGCACTTGACCCATATTCTTGTCTCTACGATCTGTGAGAGAAGCACACCAGACCTTCAAATGCCCCTATGAGTTTCATTTAATTTCAAACAAAATAATATATATTTTTTTTAAATAGTTACTGCTTTCCATGTGGTGTTCATCAATGCGTATAATTTAGTGGGTAAGGTTAGGGTCGTATTAATCGAATTAAACAAAGACTAGAGCGACTTTATTATTTTAGTGATGTATTAATAATTTAATGTTTTAGGATTTGAAATCTGTATATCCTTCATTAACTCAATGTTTTTTTACTTAACGAAATGGACATCATATTTGTCAATGTTCAAAAATGGTAACTAAATGTGTCTAATGCAATTCTTAATAATTATACGGATGTCTAGACTAATTTTTTATTTTTAACTTTAAGCCGATATTTTTTAAAAAAAATGTTCTACAAACTCTGTTTAGGTCTGATTTGGTATAATGTATGTGATAAAATAATGAAAAATATATAAACCAAATTAATTACTTATATGCAAAGAAAAATCTTATTAGTTGTATGATGAATGTATAGTTTACGAGTTCTTTTAGGATTATAAAATACCAAAATATATAAAGTTTATCCCAAAGAAAATGAGTTTAAATCTAATAATATTGTATAATTTTCTGAATAGATTCCACACTAGCGAAATCTCCAGCTATTCAAGTCATATTATAATGGGTAAGCAACTAAGCATGTTGCTAGGAGTATTATGCTAAGCAAGAATCACAATGTTTTTAAGCAAAAGTGTCAATCAATTTTTTTTTGAGTACCAAATACAAATGAATGGAGCAACAAAGGAAGATCAAGCTGGGTGGTGCATAGTTGCATGCTTACCAATTCCCAAATGAGCCATAAAGAGCCAAACAAAGCTCACAAGTTCACCACCTTGGCTAAGCTGAGCAACATGCTGCTTAGAGTCACAATGGTTAGCTGCATAACAAAGCAACTCAACCCAAACTCTACTCACTAATCCCCAAACACTTCCATCTCCTGATCTCCTTTCTATCCTTAAAAGTTCTTCAGCAAGCTTACACGCATCTTCAAGTGTACTTTCATCTCCCATATAGAACACCATCATGTTCCTTTTGTTTGACAAAAGCTCACTACAAGCTTCCCTCACATCCCTAAAACCATCCCCCAAAAACGTTCTAGCTACAGAACAAGTCTCCGTGAACTTCATTTTCGCAGTTCCGGCAACAGCTGACATCAAGGCAGGTTTCATCATCATCAAATACATCATGTAGTCCGACAGCATCTTGCTCACTTCTTTGCTTTTGTATTGTTCTTCTGTGAGGATCCTTATCTCCCTGCGGTAGATTAGATCCGTGGCAATGTGCCACAACAGTATGCTCTGACCATAATCAACTAAACTCACATACTGAAGCAGCGTCCTCCCAACTAAGCTCTCACCAGGTTGGCTTAGCGTCCACTCACCTCTTGCAGAAGATATTCTCTTGGCACGTTCTCTATCCACAGCGAGACGAGACTTATACCTCACCTCATTGTGTATGAACTCCCAAAGATCTTTAGGAAGACGGTCACTAGATTTGAAGATAATCTCTGTTATCTCATCTTGAACACCAAAGAACTCCAAGAACTGACCAATACCTAACAAGAGAAGGTCCACAAGTAAAACTAAAGGAGCCAATAACAAAAGAAGTGGGAAGAACAAAAGAACCCAGCCATTTCTTAAAATACAGCATGTGGTTGCTGTAGTCGCTGCTCCACCTTCCATAGATGCGAAACATGAGTACATTTCTTGCGCAACCAAAGCGAGTCCACGAGAAACCCTAAGGTCAAAGAAGCTTCGTATGTAACCCTTTGGACGGTGAACTTTCTTCGGACTTATCCTTAAGCAGAACTCAATCATGTTGTAGCCATGTATGTATTCAGACCATCTCCGGAACATGAATGTCCTGTTTAGTACTTCATGTGACTCGGAGAGGTCTTCACTCATGGGACATCTACATCTCTTCCACTTCAGTCTCCTGAAGCCAAGAATCCAGTTCAAGAATTTATCAGACCAAGACCAGGTTTGGTCAGGATTCTCCTTTAGCTTCCTGGTTATAGCTATTGTCCTATCGGATACACAGATCATTAAAGCAACAACTAACTCAAGAACTATTCCACCTATTAGCAGTGCATACGTAAGCTTAACATCAAATCTCTTGTAATTCTCCTTTTCCTTGGAAAAGAAGATACATAGAGATGACACAAGACATCCAAAAGCTATAAACCGGAAGAAAGACCCGACCCGAGTGAGCAAAATACTTGCTTTAGTGAAGAAATCATCGTACATGAAACTCAGCTCAACCTCTAAAACCCTTAAAGCCTCCTCAGGGTTTAAAGAATCAACAAACCTCTTACTCTCCTCCCATCCTCTAGAAGCTAATCTAAGATCAGGGACAAGAGCTTTAGAGATGTTGAACAGCTTGTAAGCGTAAAGCACAACCTCTAGATCTCTCAGCTCTCTACTTGGCCTAGTCGGGACATTGAATCTCTGCTCCTTCCTCATTAGCTTCTCGTGCTTACGAAGAACAGAGCCTTTGAACTTCCCGGAACTCGCCAAGTAAAGCGCTCTTATCCTCTCGACAAACTTAACCACTCCCGCGACAATCATAAGCCCTGTCGGAACAGCAACCCCGCTAGGGATCGAGAGAAAGAGGACGTAGAGAGTAGAAACTGCTTGGCAGATGAGACCGAACAAGTGTCTACGCCAAAGCTCGTTGTCTTCTAAGGCAAGGGCCGTGATCGTGTCGGGACCACCGAGTTGTAAGAGAAGAAAAGGAGACCAGAAGGCTAAAAGCTCGTGGTTCAACGACGAAGAAGAGGATGGTGAACTGTTTTTGTCGTCTTGAGTGTCGGAGATTTGGCCGATGGTGTAGTTTGCTGACCAGTCGGCGAGAAGGTAAGCGAACCATATGAGGAAGACGAAGAGTTTGCCGGATGTGCGTTTTCTGCTGGGTGAGAAGATGACGAGGATGGCTTGGAGGGAGAGGCTGAAGATGATGAGGACACGAATGTTCAACTCTTCCCAGAGGTTCTTTACGTCCTTAGGAAACGTCTTCTCTGTCATTTCCTCTGTTTTTTTATTTTGAAAAACAGAGCTATTAACAGAGACAGTGTAAGCTTATGATAGGTTAAATACGATAATGCCCTTACGTGCTAATTAGTCTTTTTTAAAGATACAAGTAATTTTAACTTTGAAATTAATACTAAGCATATCAACGGTTAGAAACATAAATGAGTTTTAGAACTATAAATATTTACTAAATTTTTGTAGAAGAATTACATTTTTTCATTTTCATTTTTTTTTAGAATTAATAAAAGAGACGTCTGGCTCATGAGTTTTTCAAATCTATTAATTAAAAAGTAAAAAAACCATATTTCCGTCATTCTCTTTTTTTTTTTTTAATTACATCAAAAAAAACTTTTAAAAATTTTCTGATTGAGCTTCTATTTATTACACTGTATTTCCATCCATATCTCCATGTGATGTGGTAATTAATGAAATAATTTTTTTTTGTGAAAAGAATAAAGAAAGACTAACCTTGGCGCCTAATCTCGTTGACTTTTCCACCATTAAATCATCCTAAGATAATAGACTCACCCCCATCAATGAACCGATGGGGGGAGGTTCACCAAAAAAGAAAATTAATTTTTTTTTTCTTTTTCG